AAGGAAAACCACTTGAGGATGTTGGCGCGCTCGTAGGTCTGGCCGGTGCAGAGCGTGACGGGATCCACCATAGGCTCGAGGGAGATGGGGCAGATGAACACCGACGGCACGTCCTCGGGCGCCGCCGAGTCGAGCTCATCGATCATCTTCTTGAGGTCGAGCTTCTCCGCGGTGGCTCCCAAGGTCCCATCTTTCCCTGCAGGGAGGCCCCCGCCGCCGCCGCCCAAGATCCCATCTTTGATAGCGGTCTCCAGATCTATGATCTGCCCCCCGCCCTCCAGCCTCCATGAAGCCTGCTGCTGGTACTGCGGCATTGTTCGGAGCCTCAAAGAACCCAACTTTAGATCCCAAGATTCGATTTCTAAGCGAGAAGAAGAAGAAGAAGAAGAGAGGAAAGAGAGGTGGCAGGAGGCTAGAAGCCGAAACAAGAGAAGAAGACAGGATCGGTGTTGAGAGCTCGCTTTTGCTCTGCGCTAGGCGACGTTGGACGCTGCAATCTGGGGGAGCCTTCAATGGCGCCGGTCAAAAGGAAGCAATCCGTCATCATAACCAGCATAATGGACTTATGATCGAGCTCCGCCCCTTCTTTGAACCCCCCCAAAAGCCCCCTCTCTCCCTCCCCCGCTAAAGCTCGCTCTCTCTCTCTCTGTCCCTCTCAGACACACGCTGCCTTCACCAGAGGTCACTAAAAAGGCGAAATCATACGCGAGCAAAGGCCCAGATCAGAAGATAAAAGGGGAGAGCAAAAAAGAGGGAGGGAGGGAGATCTACACTAAACCTCCCCCAACAAAGAACTCCAAAACACAGAGAAAGAAAAGAACTTGACACCTTTACGGTCCAAAAGATCACGTTAGAGATCTGTGAGCGGGAGGTACGGGAGGGAGGCGAGCGAGAGTGAGAGTGACAGTGAGAGATCTAACACAACCTTGTGATGACCAAGAAGCAGATAAAGAGGCACAGAACAGAGAGACGAGATTAAAGATTAACATATCATAAAAAAGAGATTTTGAAAAGAGGAGACACTCTGCAGACTGCTCTGCTCTCTCTCTCTCTCCCCCTCCCCCTCCTTCCTCTCCTTTTATGCGGAGAAAAAGAGAGAGCAAGAGAGAGACAGAGACAGAGAGGTCTCGAGAGGCATAAAAGGTTGGCCTGGGAACTTGGGAGGAAGGAAGAGGGCAGAGGGGATGACCGGGAGTAGCCGGTGGCCGTCGCGTCTCGGCCCGAGCACTGCACGTGCAGTCGTGTCACCCCGATCCTTACGACAACGCCTTTAGATTAGGGCATACGAAACCCACATTTTGAAATGTCAGTTTTGTCCTCGTTCCCATTGTTTGCAGATCACCACCGTCCATATGCATCATCTGTACACGAATCATAATACATGAGGTGAAGAAAAAGAAAGAATCAGAGGCCGCGGGATTCGCGACCTGTGATTGACTCAACGTGCGATCGATGCGCCTCCCCAATAAGAGACTCGATGAACAGTATTCCCCGGTAGACAACAAACGAAAAGAATCACAATCTGCAAAAGCTGCCTGCTGCTGCTACTAACCCATGCGCATGGCTCTCTCCCTCGGCAGCATTCTGTAGCACCGCTTTCCCCATTGTCGAATAGTTTGAGCTTGCTTTGGGTGCTTAATGACCTCTACCTCTGCCTCTACCTCTACCCAGTAAAAGCACAACAAAAGGAAAGGACCGTGGGATTAGGCTAAATGCTTAGAACCTAGTCCAGAGATGGGAGTATTATTGCTGCCACCGCATCATCTTCTTCCCTTGACTCCATGTCTCTGCGACTGAGAGATCGAAGAGACCAACGTAGGCTCGGCATCTGCCTTTGCTTGACTGTACTCAGCTCCGCTTCCTCGGGTCTCATCCTGTCGCGCAGTTGGCTTTGACTGCTTTGTGAGGCGGGTCCCTCGCCTTGCCTTGCCACCTGCAGCCACTCCTACCGCGACAGGTGGCCCGGGGAACTGTGCGAGCTGCGCCGTGGCAGAGATTTCAAGGTCTCCGGTGGACCCAAATTTAACAGGAGGTTTGGAGTCCCCCATTCATTACTATTAACTCACTCCGTCCGAGACTGTAAGCACGCATGTAGCGCCGGAAGGAGCACGGTGAGAGTGATCTATCAGGTTTGATTTGTTTCCTCCGAGATCTTTGATACAACATATGGTTTTCCGGTGTTCTCTCCTCCTTGTAGGTAGCTGCTTTAACTGCATGACGTGATGGCTCATGGCCGGAATCATCAACATCGCAACCCGAGTTAATGCCTAGTTAGTAGCGATCCACGTCCTAGTTTGACCAACACGCTTGAAGCTCCATGGACGCCAACTATTCCTAGCAGGTAGCAAACTTAACAATATCGATTAGACTTATCCCACCCAAGAAGCTCTCTCTCTCTCCAATGATTGAGGTAGAACAATTCAAGGGCGAAATGATAGGAGATTAACTTCCATTCGTTCATTATATCTTTGATGCCATTAGGTGTTCGATAAAATGCGTTTGGGGGGAGGCACCGAGCACTATTTCCATGGCGTTCAGTTACCGAGAGGGGACCAAGCGGTGATGGCCGCTCTTTGCCGGGCGCTTGAGACATGGGGGAGGCCACACAACGGCAGCGACCTCGTGCTCGTTATCGCCATGTCCACGAACAAGCGGGTCAGCGGTCGAAATCAAATGGACCGCTCCGTTGTTCACGAACGCCCCCTCTCTCTCTCTCTCTCTCTCTCTCACTCACCATCGTCTCTCTCCTCCCTGAAAGCGTGGCCTTCCCATTAAACCCTCACGCTCACAGAATGAGACGCTCGTGGTCACTCCCTCCTTTATGGCTCACACGGCCAACGTAGCAAAAGCCACCCTTAGGACGCATGCAAAGGTTCCTTCCGTGCCTGCCTGCAATTGAATTGCCACATTACATCTCAACCATTATGATATCTTCCCATAATGTTGAACTGTTTCATATGTATCACTACTTTCAATTATGCTTACCATTAATTAGTTCGATTTAAATAAATAAATAAAAAATATATATATATATATAATATAAAACATTGGTCGGACAAGCAACATCAATTATAGTTTTCTTTTCATATTACTTGAAATATAATTTTTTTTCTCCTTTTTCCTATGGAGTTATCCACAGGTGAATCAATCCAAATATAATATTATTTTTGCATTATTACAATGTTTTCATCAATATCAATAAAATACTATAAAGTAGTACAAAAATGCTATTTTACAATAATATTATAAAAATATTATGTTTATATTATGTTATAGTATTTTCGGTAATACTAAAAACATTGTAGTACAGCATAAAAATATTTTAACACAATATTTTTACTTTCATCAACACCAAGAAAATATTACAACGCAATACGAAAACATTGTGTATAGTATTTTTTTTAACTATATTATAGTGTTTTTTGGGTATTACAAAAAATATTATAATATAGTATAGAAATATTATAATATAAAATAATTATGTATATATATTAAATATGAAGGATAAAAGAATAAATATTAAAAAAACATTAATTTTGAAGGGATCTCTATACATAATTTGACCAATTAAGTGAAAAAACAGTAATAGACCAATAGAAGAGCAACGTGGCAAGTGCTGGTCCATGCTGTAATTAATTAATTAATTAATTAATGGCAATAATAAAGAAGATTTTTCTTAAAAGACATCAAAACATTTGAACCCCTCTTGAATGCACAGACATGGTGGCATCATGAGAAGCACCACACACGGCCATGGCATCAGTGGCAGAGCAAATAATCTATATGGAAACCGGCTCGTGAGCTCTCTCACCAGCAGCCCTGTAGTACTTTTTGTCTCGCAACCGGTCAGAGGCGGAGACGAGCATTTCTTGATGTTGCCAACCAGCTTTGGCTGGCTCCTTTTGACCGTCACCTCAGGCGCTACAAAAGAGGCTGCCACCGTCTCCGTAAACTAAAGTGAAACAGCGAAGGGGGCCTGCAACATTGATGGGAGAAGAAGAAGAAGCAGAAGAGAGTGGATAAAGGGTGACCTCAAGTGCGGACCGATCCAATAGGGATAATTTTGTGGGCAGTGCAAATGAAGTGCCCGAGTCGGATTCAGTTTTCGGTTCGTATGGCTGGCCCGGGTTCGGATTTAAGTCCAGCAATTAGGCTGAGCCTTCTTGATAAGTGTTTGTGAACCTTTTATGTCGTCGAGGATCCTATACGGCTTGGTTCGATCGTCGTTGTCCAGAAGTCTACGGATGAAATCTTCGTCGGGTCAGATCGAGCTCGGGGTCGATCGATGTCCATAAAGTTTCTACAGTAAGTATGCTCGCCTTCGTCATCGTCTGATTCCTACACTTTGACCTAAGTCAAGATGGGAAAGGTATCCCGACTTAGGTTTCTCCAAAGATTAAGTCAGTAAAACTTTATGACAAATCTTGTATTCCCCTACCACATGGAGCTTTTATTCTAACGTCTGAGAGTCATCCGTACATGATCTTTGCACAATGACCATCGTCCCAAATTTCTAGTGGCACGTCCGATGTAGCATCACGTCTTTCTTCCGAGGTTTCATACTTGTACTAACGTGGTTGGGAGGTCGTATTGATGTGACGAAATCCACAATATGGTCTATCAATAAGCATGACCACATTCGAATCAAAACTAAACCGAATTGGAATTAAATTGATCGAACAATTTGTCGATTTAGAAAGGAACCGAAACTAGGTTTGGGTGGTTTAAACCCAGTTTCAATTGTGTAGAATTAAAATCGACGATTCTGAATTTAAAATCAAAATTACATCAATTTTGGTATATATTTTGATGATCACATCCACAAATCATATATATATATATATATATATATATATATATATATATATATATATATATATATATATATATATATATATAATTTAAATTATGATTTAGAGTGAATCGCCATCATCATTAATAATTTTGTTATATATTTTGATGATCACATCCACAAATCATTCTTTTATACAACCAAAAAGCCAAAGATTGTTCCAGATAACAGGAGAAGGGGCGGAACGAAGCAGGCTTGTCTTGTGGCGAACAGCATGGCGCACTCGTCGAGGCTCACCTTGTCTGCGTCCGCCGCGAGGGCGGCCGCTGCCGTGGTCGACGACGACGACAATCTCGACGAGGAGCCCGGTGAGGAGATCGAGTCCGCGCCGCCGCTCCGGGTCGGCGAGGAGAGGGAGATCGGAGGCGCCGGCCTCAGGAAGAAGCTTCTCAGGCCCGGCCGCGGCTGGGAGACCCCCGTCCTCGGCGACGAAGTTACAGGTTCCTGAATCACACCCTCCCCATTCATGTTCGTTTTCTCCGGCATAGAGATCAGGACCCTCCTCATCGAGTTCTCTCTGGGGTGTAATTCTTGTTTCCTTTTCTTGGTTCTTTGAATCAACAGTTCATTATGAGGGTAGATTGCTGGATGGACGCAAGTTCGAGTCCACTCGGGACCGAGGGGAGCCTCTCACTTTTGAGCTGGGCGGTGGTAAGATTGCAGTGCTGCTTCTTTTCGAGACTCCGCGTAGCTTTTGGGGTTTCTTTGCTGTCCTTTTCTTGAATTCTTCTGGTTCGTATGAGATAATTCTTTAGCTGTTTTAGGGTTTTGAGACTGTGAATTTTTTGTGCATTTTCTTCGTTCATTGATTTGATCAGGGTTTTTAATTCAGCTTTTTAGGAAGAAGAATGCCTCTAGGGTTGTCGCATCAAAAACGATATCAAAGATAATTTTGGTGGTTAAGTCAGCAATGTACACGGTCGAACATTATTCAGATCTAGAATTTGCATGCTAGAATAAGTTCTATCATTCTCATAAATGTTGATAATAATCCTTTTGGATACATGTCAGTGTTTCAACACCAAGACAAGTCAGTAAGAAATGACATGTAGCTGAAAGAATTTTCAGAATGAGTAACATAAGTCAAAGGAATCCTGTCTCAATTGGATAACTTTTCTTCTAAAGAAGTTATGGTGGCTTTGGTTATCATAATGCCGTTCTAATGAAAATCGTTGGTGTTTGGTTTCTGGGTAATATCTTAGGACTTAAAAATAACCACATGTTGCTTCAACATCGAGACTTATTGGCACTTATCTTGAATTAGAACAAGGCATTGCTGGCTTGGATCAAGGAATAATTACCATGAAAAGGGGGGAATTGGCACTATTTACATTGCCTTGTTCTTCTGGTTATCGACATGCTGCTGCTCAAGGTGTTCCTCCTGATGCTGATATGCAGTTTGAGGTAGAACTACTATCATGGCTAACAGTCATGGACATTTGCAAGGATGGTGGAATAGTTAAGAAAGTTTTATCAGGTGGGGATGATAGGCAAACAGGAGATTTGGATGAAGTTACAGGTATATTTAGGAAACTCTAGCTTATTAAATGTTAGTTGCTTTTCCGTTAAATGTTGTATCTATGTTCTTTCCTAATCTAATTGGTTCATTTTTCTAACTGCACAGTCAAGTATCAAGTCAGGCTGCTTGATGGCACGATTGTTGCAGAAACTCCTGAAGGAGGATTTGAGTTTTGTGTTAATCAAGGTGTCTATAATTGTGAATTTAATTTTTGTTGGTGTTTTCTATTCTTAGACCAGATCTGACAGCATGTTCTATTCTTGTACCAAATCTAATGGGTTTTGTCATGCAGGGCATTTGTGTCCAGCATTACCCAAGATTGTGAATACCATGAGAAGAGGGGAGAAGGCTTTTGTCACCATTCAACCACAATGTATGTCAGACCATTAAGATAGTTTCTGATGCTTTGGAATGAATTTTGGGCATGTATTTTCAATTTTTATCACTGTTAAATTTCTTTTGCCACTCTTTACACCCCTTCACTAGTTTTTTTCATTTTAGATGGGAATTTGGAGTAGATTGCATTAGTTCTTGCTTGTTAGTAAGAAAAACTTTACTAGCCTTACCGAATCATTGTGACAAAGCATGATAACTACATTCACAAACTCAACTTTGACATTTAATTATGTATTTTAACTTTTTTTTGTCTTGTCATGGCTAGAATAATGGGTTACACACATTTTGGTGGAACCTTTTTGGCTCGTTCTAGTTGCTCTACTTCTTGAAGGGCTAATTATAATGATCATGAAAGAGGGGAGAGGCATGGAGGTTTTGCGTGATAACTGGTGTCCCTTAAATAAAAAAAAAAAATTATGGGACATTAATTAGGTCATTTATGGTGGTTAAGAAACAAAGAGTTTGTATTAGTAAGATAAGAATGGTTTTTGGATGCATGAAGTTAGTAGGTATTTATGTTCTAATTTTAAAATTTCCAAGATGAGGTGAGTAATAGCTAGTTTAAGTGTCTGACAGGGAAAGAATAGACAGGTTAGGATGGCCCAGTGCACAAGGTTTCCACTAATTTGTGGTCTAATATCTAAGTAACATATTATAAACCTGGGTTAAACTGTAATTTTCTTGATGTTTATTTATCTGTCAGATATTCCTTTTTTTGCATTAATTTTGATCATACATCTACCTTAAGCTCACCTTTGGATGATAGCCATCTCTAGATGCATTTGGAGAAGCGGGGAGAGAAGCTATTAATGGATTACCTGCTATTCCGTCAAATGCCGTGTTGAATATTGAAGTTGAGTTAGTATCTTTGAAGCCTGTTGTTGATGTTACTGGTGATATGAAGGTATTGAAGAAGATTCTGAGAGCAGGCGAAGGTCTCCGTACACCGAACAGCGGGGAGACCGTTTGTGGTCAGTTTTCATCTTTACTTCCAATAATGATAATCTATGGAAGTTGCTAATGACTTGAGATTTGATATTGTTCAGAGTAGAGCCTATCATTTGGTTTCTCCCACATAGAATACTCTCGTTTCTATATATCTCATCTTTTGGTTACAATTACTTTGAAATACTTGCATGCACATTCTGATTATGTTCAGAAATGTAACTTATCTGATTATTAATTTACCTTCTTGCTTGAGGATTGTGGACTTATGCAGAATGTGTATCATCTTCAGTTAGGTATACTGCCATGTTCAAAGGTGGCACTACTTTTGAGAAAGTAGGCTTTGATGGAGAAAGTTTTCAATTTATAATTGATGAAGGTCAGATCATTTTTAAGTCAATTCATTTCATTCACATTTTCTTTGTGAAATGTGCGAAGTTTGATTGATTTTTAACACATTATGGTTACAAAATTCTGGCTTGTAATTTCAGACATCTTGCACTGATGCCCCATGTTTTGCTGTACAGAACAGGTTATTGCTGGTTTAGATCGTGCTGTATCAACAATGTTGAAGGGTGAACTATCTGAACTGACTATAGAACCGGAGTATGCATTTGGAAATGACGAAGCTAAGCGGGATGTAACCATAATTCCTTCAAGTTCAACTTTGATATATGTGGTGGAGTTGTTAGACTTTACAAAGGTGACAAAATTGACAAGCTGGCGAAGGTGTTATTTGAGTGTGTGGTGAAACTACTAGTAACTGTGTCTTCTTTCCAAACCACAGGAAAAAGACATACGGGAGATGACTGGTCTTGAGAAGATACAAGCTGCTGAAGGCACAAAAAGTTCAGGCAATGATCTTTTCAAGAACGGGAAGTTTGAACGAGCTGCAAAGAAGTATGATAAGGTAGCTCAGTGATGAGTGGCTAATAATATCTGGACTAATGATAATTATTCTCTTGTAAGTGGAGAAGTCTCTTGTCTCAATAGATTAATTCATCAAATTTTCAGGCTGCTAGGTATATTGATGGTGAAGGAACATTTGAGGATAATGAGGAAAAGCTAGTGAAATCTCTGAGAATCTCGTGCTGGTTGAATTCTGCAGCATGTTGCCTAAAACTGAAGGACTTTCAGGGAGCTATTCGGTTATGTTCACAGGTAAAAGCCAATTTAATACATTATGTGACATTATTAGGCAATCTTTGATTTTTATGCATACAACTCTTTGCACCTCTAGGTACTAGATAATGAGTTCTGCAACGTGAAGGCACTGTACAGGCGAGCACAAGCTTATATTGAAGCTGCTGATCTGGATTTAGCTAAGTTGGATATTCAGAAGGCATTAGAGCTCGACCCAAAGAACAAGTTAGTAGGCACTAGAATAATCCAATTACAGGAAATTGGTAATCTTAGCACATCTTTTTTTGCACTAACTTGCAGGGAGATGAAGTCACTACAGATGACATTGAAACAGCTTCAAGCAGAGAAGAATAGAAGAGATGCAAAGTTGTACGCAAACATGTTCCAATGGACAAGAAAAGATGCAGATGTGATGGTGAAGGTGAGTTCCAAGAGGAGTTGTTTTCGTTATTGTAAGAGGTTTTCTCAGTGTCATTCGCTTTCTGTGTTATTAAGTTTCATATAATGTGATAAGTTTGTCAAATTAAAGAAAAGCAACCGGAATATCCAAGTTTTCGAATTCAGAACATCTGGGTTGGTTTCTCTTCTTCCTGCATTTATTGTCGGCCTGGAAGTGGTTCGATTTCTATGAGCAAATGTGAAAAGATGATAAGCTGCTGCAAGTCATTTTCTCTTTTGCAGAAGCTGAAGGTTGGGAAGCCACAAGGTGATGAGAGGGAGGGGAGCGCCGAAGTGGAGGCATCCAATCTGGAGAACTACATGGTAATGATCATGCTTTCAGGACTCTACGTGAAAAGATTATAAGAAATATCTATAACTGATGCAGTAACGTCGTTGATGTCATGCAGAGATGTGAGCGCAAAGTGGCAGAGAAAGAAGTAAAATGTGACAGGGAAACACAGGCGATGGAGGTGGTGGATGCTACTTGTGCCGGTGACAGGGAGATGGCAGATTCCGTGGGGAGGTGAACAGCCTGCGGCAATCTTGGTAGGATAGCAGTAGACAGTGCTGGTTGTTGTTGCGTACTGAGGCGCGGCCTGACATTATCGTTTCGTCCCATGTTCGCCTTCGTGGACTGCTTAAAACATCGAGAGGGGATTCTCACAGAAGTCCGATATATTGATATATACTGATTGCTTGTGTATCTTGGTCTTAATAGGAGGACGCTGATGATGGTCTAATATTGGTCCCTGGGGGTGGAAGAGAACCCGCCGAAAACTCACCTCGGACCAGGAACTTATCCTCCCATGCAGGGTTCCTTAGATACGTTGGTTAAGTTTTGGTATTCCTCATAGAAACCGTACCGTATTTTTACATGGTGCATCCGCGCTACTTATTCATCATGTCCTCCTTTTCAGACGGACATTGCAAAATGCGATCTTCACATGGCTCATCAACGCTGCTTGCGATTGCGTGGAGGATCGTATAGCCGTAGATGCGGGAGTGACCAAATGAACGTCGGACATGACCGGCAGGTATATTGATTTCTTATATAAATATTTAATACAATTCTCGAGTCCCTCTCCACACGACGTCTGGGTGGTGTAGTTGGTCATCACGCTAGTCTCACACACTAGAGGTCCCCGGTTCGAACCCGGGCTCAGACATATTTTTTATCGATCATGTTGCACGGACGGCCGACGTATCAGACCCGACTGACATCCATAAATAACTGAAATCAAAACCCACGTGCTAAGGACAGTTGACTAGGCTTATTAGTTGCATCGTGTTATTATAATTCCGAAATATCTGAATATATATATATATATATATATATATATATATATATATCAAGGAAAATAGTAGTAAGCACGGGTTTATTATTAGCAGTTTGTTTAAAAGCATCGAAAGCATCGACAGAGCAATAAAGTGACGCATAGGAGTGGCAGATAAAATAAATGATAATCTACATAATAAAATTGCTACAGACCAACATAAACGTGGGAATCACAAGGAAATGTTGTGATTACTGTAAATTAAGACAATAATAATAATAATAGAAACTGTTCGTGGTCATAAACTAGGCTTAATATCTTTTCTTTACATGGTGAAGCTCTAGCATGAATACACGAATCAACAGTAGAATGTCCACCGACCAGTTATAGTAACGGACGAAAACGACACACGAAAGAAAGAAGAAAAAAAAGGGAGGCGGAAATAAAAATGCTCTTCTTTTTTCTATGATGAGGATAGTAATTATGATAAGACCCGGTTGACATCAGATGACGCCTCACGTCTTGGACGACGCAACGGCACCCGGTCAAACGGATCGAAACACAGCCCGAGGCGCATTAACGCCCACTCAGGCTCGGCTCTTCACGCCACGTAACGCCAGTGTCAGACGCCACCATCTGCCCCTGCAAGCGGGCACATCAAACAACAGCAAGCTTCCCTATAAATACCCTCGCGCTCTGAACGAGCAGGGGGGACCGAAAGGACGGAGGAGAGAACACACCAGGGAGACCTCAAACTCTTCTTCTACCGAAATCCCCTCCACTATCTACTGACTCGATCGTCGGAGAGGTCGGGTCGAGCCTCCCGACCCGACCTGTGTGCAGGACTGCAGTCGGAGCGCGTGCCCAACCGAGGAGGCCCCCTCAGCGGAGACGACTGACCCCGTCCTGATCGGACTGCCGCAGCCGACCACCTCGGCGAACTCGAGGGCCGCACTAGGAGGATCCCGCCATCCGGACCCGAATCGAGCCAAGTCGGCCCCGAGGCCACGACTCCAGGTTGTTTACCACAACAGATTGACGCTAGAGGAAGGGCCCGGAATGTCGGGTCATCACCCGAGCGGCTCAGACGAGCCCACGACTGACAGGTCGCACCCGACCGAAGCCTCGAGGGACCATCCCCCGCACGGAGACCATCGTGACGAACACCCCGCTACGACCTCCGAACGATATTGGCGAATATTCAACGACCCGGGTTTGTCGCCACCCGATGGCGCCTCCGCCGACTCGACGCCCATGTCACCCGAGGCCTTTCAGGACCTCGCCCGTCAAGTCCGAGCTCTGATGGATATGGTGCAGACCATCATCCCGTTCATTCCTCATCCGACGCACCCACCTGTAGTCCAACCACTGCGGCAATACGAACCACCCGTTCGGGCCCACACAACACTTTCGGAGCCCCCCACTCCACCTCGGGTCCGACCGACCTCACTCAGGGATCCAGTGATGGCAAACCCGAGCAGCCGCCCGGAACCCGAGGCACTCTCTTCGGACTCCCTGCGGGCCCAATTGCGCTTCGTTAGTCAGCGACTTGACGAGGTGCAGAAAGAGGTCCGTAGGTCCAAGGGAGAGCTAAGGGAGGACGCACACCAAGGGTCTCCCTTCACGCCTGAGATACGGGATCAGACAGTCCCCCCGGACTTCCAGCTCCCCTCTTTGGACGCTTACGATGGCTCCACCGACCCGACGGACCATGTAGTTGCTTTTCGCGCCCAAATGACGCTATGTGGAACCTCTGATGCCTTGATGTGCAGAGCGTTCCCAACCACTCTGAGAGGGCCGGCCCACGCGTGGTACAACGCCTTAATGACCGGAACGATCGCTTCCTTCGACCAGCTCGTCAAGGAATTCGAGCTCCACTTCGTGGCCTATGCACGGCCGAAGCCTTCCGCAGCACTGCTCCTCGGACTCAAACAAAGGGAGGGCGAGCCCCTCTCCCATTTTGTGGATCGTTTTGCCACGCAAATCCAGGGCCTGCCGGACACTCACCCCTCTCTATTGGTGTAGGCGTTTATGATAGGCCTGCGACCTTCCAGATTCCTGTGGTCCCTCACGGAGCAACCTCCCACCACGGTGCCAGAGATGCTCTAGCGCGCTAACCGGTACATCGCCGCAGAGGCCTGGGCGACCGTGAGGAGAAGGGACGGCCCCCGACCGCGGGTCCCATGACAGAGGTCAGGCACCCGCGGTGGCTACCCCATGTAGTCCTCATGAAAAGAAATCTAAGCCCTACCTCGGCCTCTTTCGAGCCAAGGTTCAGTATCCACCTGACCCCCTCTCGGCTCGTGGTTAGCCCCGGCTTAAAATCTTCTGAATCTACACGGCTCGACCATGGACTGCCGAGCCCACCTCAGGGCGGCTTGCCCACCTGAGTTGCATCCCTCAGCCATAGACTGCCGAGCCAACCTCAGCGCGACCTGCCCGCCTGAGCCGTGTCCCTCGGCCGCAGCCTGCCTACACCAAGCTACTTGGCCGCATGTTGCCCGAAACCACACCTGCGCGACCTGCCCGCCTGCGTCGTGCTACTCGACCGCATGTTGCCCGAGACCACACCTGCGCGACCTGCCCGCCTACGTCATGCTACTCGGCCGCATGATTTCCGAGACCACACCTGCGCGGCCAGCCCGCCTGCGTCGTGTTCCTCGGCTTCATGTCCCCGAGACACACCTGTGAGGCCAGCCCGCCTGCGTTGTGCTCCTTGGTTCGTGCTCCCCGAGACACACCTGCGCAGCCAGCCCGCCTGCATCGTGCTCCTCGAGACACACCTGCGCGGCCAACCCGCCTGCATCGTGCTCCTCGGCTCCATGCTTCCCGAGACATGCCTGCGCGACCAGCCTGCCTGCGTCGTGCTCCTCGGCTCTATTCTCCCCGAGACACACCTGCGCGGCAAGCCCTCCTGCGTCGTGCTCCTCAGAACCATGTTCCCCGACACCGCGCCTGCACGGCCTGCCCGAAAGCTGAAGCCATGCCTCGGACTCCCGTTACAACGACCGACGCATAGCTTCTTTCCGGGGGAGAATATGATGAGGATAGTAATTATGATAAGATCCGGCTGATGTCAGATGACGCCTCACGCCTCGGACGACACAACGGCACCCGGTTAAACGAACCGAAACACAGCCCGAGGCGCATTAACGCCCACTCAGGCTCGGCTCTTCACGCCACGCAACGCCAGTGTCAAACGCCACCATCTGCCCCTGCAAGCGGGCACATCAAACAACAGCAAGCTTCCCTATAAATACCCTCGTGCTCTGAATGAGCAGGGGGGATCGAAGAGGACGGAGGAGAGAACACACCAGGGAGACACTTCAAACTCTTCTTCTACCGAAACCCCCTCCACTATCTATTGACTCGATCGTCGGAGGGGTCGGGTTGAGAGTCCCGATCCGACCTGTGTGCAGGACTGCAGTCGGAGCGCGTGCCTAGCCGAGGAGGCCCCCTCAGCGGAGACGACTGACCCCGTCCTGATCGAACCGCCACAGCCGACCACCTCGGCGAACCCGAGGGCCGCATCCGGAGGATCCCGCCATTCGGATCCGAACCGAGCCCTGTCGGCCCCGAGGCCACGACTCCAAGTTGTTTACCACAACACTAAGCATGCACCATAAGGAGGATTGGATCATTGCCTTTTGACCAGGACACCATCGAAGACATTCATGAATTGATGCTTTGATTAGAGACGCGCACGAAGACATATATTTTTTTTTTGTACTTGCACACAACCTCCGTTTACAATATTGAAATGATCATAAAAATCAACCAAGCTTAAAAATCAACCAAACTAAAGCTATCAAGTCGACTGTATACTATTTGATGAACAAAATCAAAATATACAGACATACATGTATATGTTTGATTTTGTGGTAAACAACTTGGAGTCGTGGCCTGACTGTTACCTGATCACACGGGCTAAATCGTATATAGTTATATGAGTTAGATCATGTCTAATCAAATAGGTTGAACCACACATTACCACATGGGCTTAGATTATACTTGATCACCTAAGTTAGATCATACTTGGCCACAAGAGTTGCATCGTCTCAGTTTGCCAAATTAATTTAACTCAAGTTAGATCCCGATTAGACTCTTCTTATTAAATTAAAATTTTAATATTTTAAACTATTAAAAAATAACTTAAATATATAAATTAAATAATTAAAATTCATAATCTTAAATTCAAAACTAATTATATCATAACAAATTACATATTAATTAAATAAATTAAAAATTTATATTAATTCAAAAATAATTTTTTTGATAATTAAATCAATCTTAAAATTTATTTACACTTATGATACCATTATAAGTCAAATAATCATTGTAACATTACAAATTAATTAGCAATACTTATTAATCATGAAAATTTAAAATTAAAATATTATATTACATCATAAAATTATAACAATCCTAATATTTAAAATTTTAAAATATAAATCAAAATTAATTGAAAATAATAATAGATCTTATCTTTCCTCAAATATACTCTCGGGTAATCTCTTCAATATCTACACTCAATGAGGAAGGAGAAACCCCTTCGTATAAAAAAATATAAACTCTTTCCAAAAAATAAATAAATAATTTACAATTTATTTTTAAAAATAAAATATACTATTTGTTTTTTATGATTCATACTTAAAAATAAATTTTAAATTATTTACTCTCTAAAAATTATATTAATAAATTAATTAATAATTTAATTGATTGGCAAAATTTTTAACTTGTCCACATGTTAAAAAAAATTAATTTTCATCATTTTCTAGATAATACTATATTAAAAAAAAGTTAATAATTTAAATAAAACAATATATTATTTATAATAATTAATCTATATTAATAGAAAAATTATCGATAATTACAAAGGAATTCTTAAACCTTCCTTCAACCATCATCCAACAGTCTTCCCTCATAATTCTCCCGATCCATTTGTCCGTATGTATGCACCAAACTGTCGTTGCAAGAATCAGATCACTTCAGCAAGTATGCATCCTGATCAGCATACTGTGCTCGGATAGCGAGACTTGAATGAATATAAATTCAGTGTAGTAGAAACAAGAAGCAGGTCGATTTCTTTTCTCTTTTTCCTGTTGCAGTAATTTTGCTTCATCAGATCATAAGTAGGACCCCAATACCTCGTCTCCAAACCTCCTGAGTCCTGCAAACAAAAAAACACCTCTGTTATTTGGAATTTCAGTAAACGAATTTAATTCAAAACAAGTAATTTCAGTAAAAAATTTCCATTTTGCTGCTTATCAAATGGACTTGAAAACAAGAACGCTGCATAGGGTCCAACTTTTTTTTAGGGCTGGCTTATATATATAATATAATGAATTAGAAGCCGACGGACGACCTTCCTATCATATCAGTGCACACAAAACAAAAACACTGCATAGGGTCCAAATTTTTAAGGGCTGGTTTTATATATATAATGAATTGGAAACCAACCGACGACGACCTTCCTACATATTATTGGCTTATATATAGTTGGTTTCCAATTCATTGTAGTAAACTTTTGTTAGTGTAAAGGGCTAATTTGTTAGGCTGGATGGCCTAGGTAACACTGATTTCTTCTCTTTACTAATCGTCTACCCTCTTCTTGTGTCCCCCCCTACTATCTGCTCCATGAAAAAGAAGCTGCTGGGAAGAAGAGCAAGAAAGCATTCTAAAATATAGAACCAATAATAAAGCAAAAGAGTTAACCAGGTCTGTATCATGCAATCAAACAAATGGAATCAACAAATTCTCCTAGGTAAACAATGTTCTACAGCATGATATGAACAAACTACAACACTTAGCATGAATAACCTTTTTAATTCAGAAAGCAAGATGAAACAAATTAAGCGCGCACCGGTGAATGCTGTACTTACCTCCAGTAAAATAAAGTCAAATAGATTGAATTCTTTGGATGCCACATTCATCGCAGGGTTAACTGTCCCTGATGGCTCTATCAATCTATTGTGATGTTTCAAGTAGCAGCAAGAACACGAAAGTTCAGAGATGGAGTCCCAAGATATGGAGATACACCAAAATGTTTCACTCATACTACAAGCCATGTAAGCTTCCAGCTCCAAAATCCCTGAAGGGAGTATATATAATTTCATCATATTGTCTGTGCACTACCAACTCCTTGCCTTGAGTGAAATAATTTTACACTGAAACAAAGAAATTCTAGCTGCATCGCTTATAAAAATTGCAACAAGAAAAGGAATGAATAATACACCAGTATATGCAACATGTGCAAACAATTAACTCGGTGGAGTACCTCATAATTTTTAGGACCAATGCAACCATTATACTGTGGGCTGTGTACGCATTTAAAAAAGAGTGAACCCAAAGTCTCCTGAAACCAAAAGAATCAAAATGAGCTTAAAACGGTGATCTGGAAGAAGAAAACAAACTAACAATGACTATGTGTGTACCTGGCTCAACTGAAGGTCATGGAACAGAATAAAACATTTTAAGAACATGAAATGAATGTTTTAGCACATCTGCACTTGTTATGTTGCAGCTGTAATTCCGGATGTGAATAGCATGAGGCAGCACCTTCCGACTATTGCAGATGCAGAATCTGGAGCAAGCTTGGCTTCATCCTTCCAACAGTTGAAATAATTTCAAAATGTGTCGATACATTCCAATGGTCTAGAGCAGTCGAGCTGCATTTTGTTTACAGTTACAGATGCTGGACTCGTGTTTTCTCTGAAAGCAAACACTGGTAAAAGCCCACGAATATGCATCTCTTCATATAGTTTTGTAACCTGCTGCGTTTCCCCACGTTTGATATAACCATGGATCAGTGTACTATATGTCACATAATCAGGGTCTACACCACTCTCAATCATTTGATCTAGAATCTTGATGGATGCTTCCATCTCCCCTTGGCAACACAGACCATTGATTAATGTAGAATATGTAACAACATTAGGACAAATTCCTGCCTCTATCATTTTCTGTTTAAACTTAAAAGCTTCCGTTAGTTCACCAACTTTGCAGTATCCATCGATCAATGTATTATAAGTAATAACATTAGGAGCTAAACCTTTCGACTGCAGCTTGTTGAAAAGATTAACTGCTCTATCTAAGTTTCCAGACTTGCAAAGACCATTTATGAGGGCATTGTACGTCACAATATTTGGAACAAGACCCTTTCTGAGCATTTCATCCCTTAACTCAAAAGCTTCATCTACGCTGCCAGCTGATGAATAGCCATGAATAAGAGAACAGTAAGTAAAATGGTCAGGGATTAACCCCCTCTGCAACAAGTTTGAGTAAAACTGTTTCACTTCCAAAACCTTTCCTGACCTGCAAAGTCCACAGATAATGACATTACAAATGACATTGTTAGGCTGCAGATTTTCGTTTGCATACTCAGTAAAGAGATCTGTGATTCTGTGCATATAGGTACTTTTTGCATCATGATTCAGCAACTTATCAGAAGCTTCAAAATCTGGAAGCATTCTAATGTCCACAATTTTTGCCAATAGGACATTTGCCTCATCAATCTTACCTTGTCTATAAAGTCCACTGACAAGGGCACTGCATATGAATATATTTGGTGGTAAGCCCTTACCAACCATTTCAAGATAAGCATCAAAAGCCTTATCCATCATTCCTTCTTTACACCAGCCAGCAATCAGAGCCCCATAAGTGGCTATGTTGGGAACCAATCCTTTCTCATGCACATCCTTTAGAAGATCATCAACCCTGTCAGAAGTGTTAGCCACAAAGTTTCCAGAAATGAGAGAATTATACATTTCAATGGAAGGAGAAAATCCTAAAGTTTCCATCTCATCCCTGACCTTAAAAGCCTTCCCCATATCACCAACTCTACAATAACCATCAATCAGTGTTCTGTATGTAATGCTATCGGGTAAACATCCACAGTCTTTCATCTTTTGAATAATCTTCTCGGCTTCATCAATCTTCCCTGTTTTACAAAAGCCATTTATCACCGTGTTGAATATTATTTGGTTCTTCGTAAAACCCCTAGCTAGCATATCATTCCAAAGCTTTAAGGCTTGTTCAAAATTGCCTGATTTGAAGAACCCATCCAATAGTGTACTGCAGCTAATCTCGTTTGGTGCTACACCCCTTTTCAGCATTAGAAACCACAAGTTAAGGGCATCGTCCATGGCGCCTGCCAGACAAAAGCCTTTGAAGAGTGTGTTGTAGGTAAGAACTGTTACTCTGATTCCTTTCATAATCATCCTATCACAAATCTTAAATGCGTTCCTCATAAGACCTTTCTTGCAATAACCATCTAACAGGGCATTATAACTGTAGGAATCTGGTTTCGGGTACCCAAGTTCCATATCATTAATCAATTTCTCTGCTTCACCAATTCTTCCCAACTTGCAATACCCATTGATCATTGTGTTACATATAAATAAGTTCTCTTTTAGCCCCATACTCAACATTTTATTCCTGATCCTAATTGCATCATCCATTTTCCCTGTCTGACAAAAGGCATTAATCAGCACACCATAAGCAACTTCGTCGGCACTTAAACCATGCATCTCTTTCATGTTCTCCAGTATTTTCTCAGCTTCTCGTACCTTACCTTCCTTGCAGTAACCCTTAATCAACAAAGTATATGAAATGACATTCGGAACGATGCCTCTTTGAGACATCAGATCAAACACCTTTAAGGCAGCTTCTGTCTGGCCCAAACTGCAATACCCATTGATCAGTGAATGGTAAGTCACAAGATTAACTTCAAAGCCTTTCCTTTCCATCTGCATTACAAAATTCGAAGCCTTCTGTAGATTTCCGTCCTTGCAGTAAGCGTTAACCATTATGGACACCGTGAAAACATCAGGCAGAATCCCAGTCCCAGTCCTAACCATCTGTTCATATACAAGAGCTGCCGTGTCGCTCTCCCCACCTCTTACCAAAGTACTCAAGAGACTGTTGCAAGACCTCAGACTAGGCTTACATCCACACTTGCCCATATTGTCAAACAAGAAAAGAGCCTCCTTTTTCAATCCACCCTCCGCGTAAGCCTTCAAGAGCATGTCGAATACCGTCGGTGAGAAAGAGAACTCCTTGTGAACCTTAACTAGCGTATCGAATACAAAAGAGACCGACGTCTTTGAGCTAGCGGAGCTCGTCATCGCCACCAGATCCTTCAAGAATGCTCTCGCGTCATCGAACATGCGCGCTCGAGACAAGATGTGGACGATTCTGCAGTAAGATTCGACATTGGGCCTGAAGTACTGCTGCCTCAGTGCGATCCTAAAGAATCCCAGGCAAGCATCGGGATCGAGACGCAGCCTCACGAGGACGTCGTCGAGGATGCCATCGGAGAAGTCGAAGGGGAGCTTGGGTATGGCGTGGAAGCGCTGGAGGGTGAGGATACGGCATATCCGATCGACGAGCTCGGTTCGACTGATGCCGGTTTGGCTGTTGGCTCGCCACTGGAGGAGGACAGGGGCGGAGTGGATCGGCCAGCGGCGAGCGAGAGATCGAGAGGGACGGGCGAAGGGTAGAGGAGGGAGAAGGGAGTGCTTGATCATGGAGGGGCATCGATTAGGGTTTTAGGAGGTGGAGGCGAGGGATGGAGATGTTTTCTGCTCAGCGTTTTTAGCTTTCTGGCTCGCGTCGTGGCCCAACCGCTTCTTAAACACACGAATTATTTGGAGGGTTTTCGACCCGCTCGGCCAAACCAAACAAATGACGGAGGTCTACGAGAAATGCTTGTTTCTCGGCGACGCTGCTGAGACCGTACGAACCAGTGGACCCCGCCTCGGTTGATCTTTGGGTAGACATGTTAAGTTTGACGCTAAAGGATAATGGAATCAGAAACAATTAAGGTGATGATTAAATCAGATTTTAATTGGTTCGACTAAATTAAAAGTGGTTTGTGATTTGATCGAGCCATAATTGAACTAAGCATCAATCTTTTGAATAAAATTATCATAATGATTCAAGTTATTAAGTATATTTTGACTTCAAATTGATACAACCGAAAAGAATTAATATTAATGATTTTCACAATAGAATTGTACAATATTTAGTCAAATATTGATGAACAATTTAAAAGATTTCCACTGCCGAATTTATATACGAAGCAAGTATTATCTAATTTTGATATCGAGAAAATTCAGAGTCTGACTTCGACAGCAATTATGAATAAAAGTTACTCCATTAACACCACTACAACATCTTCATGGAACAAATCCACAATTCAAAGGCAAAAAATAATATAGATCAAAGTACTGGGGTGAAACATGTGATTATAATTCAGTACGAAGCATATGCTGCCATTGCCTCGACTTCATTCAACAATCATGTAAACTTCTTCTACCACTAGAACTTGCTGGTTACTTGGAAGTCGACTGGTAAAAGTCTCAGCAATTACCAGTGTCATTGATCAACATAGACACACATCAACTTCATTATAAATCGAGGTTTTGCGAAGTCTGATATAATGCACCTTTGTATTGCTGTTACTCTGATCCTGTACAAGAAAAGCAGGTCGCTTCGATTAGCAACAGCTGCTTCTTGTCGTGCCTCGAGCTACGCCAACTGCAGGGCTTCTTCACTTTTAATGTTGAATACTTTGACCAGTGCTTCCTCCACAACCTGCTTGAGGCACATGAAAATGTTTAGAGAGGCACTCGAGGATGTCCTTTAAGGTTTTTCTAATACTATAGTAGGACTTGGGGAGGCAATTAAATGAGAACAGCTCGGAGTCATTGGCCTATGAAATGCTGAAAGCTGGAGATGAAGGGCATCTTAACTCAGAAGAGAAAAAACACCCTAAAAGAAGGGAATACCAAGAAGTGTTGGAATTTTAATCAGGATGATATGATTTCCTCAATTCTGATAGCCAACATTGCACCAACCAACCAGCAAAATTCTGGCCTTTCATGGAATTTTTAAGAGCATTATTCTCTTCCTATTGCAACAACATATCTATGCATGATCTGCATGTAACTGACAGAAGCCATTTACAGGAGGCATAAAGTTCCTAACCAAGAAATAGAATCTTTAGTAGCAAATTAATAAAATTATGATACACCTAGAATTAAGGATTTTCTCTGAAAGGTTGTTTGGATCCAAAGAATTTGCAACTTTATGATCAAGTAAACTATTGGGAGTTCCTTAATTAGGATGTTCCCATATCATTAAAGTTCACTTGTCAAGTTGATATGTGGCTCAAATCATGTGGGATAGGTTGCTTTGACTTTCACAAGCCCCTTCCTGATAGAGTAATAGAAAGGATAGATCTCCAAGATACAGCCAAAAAGTGCCTCTCCAGCATTGTATAATTCTTTACTCCATAATTTAATCTAATGATTCAAGTAATTAATGGTATCAAATCTAATAATGTTAAGTTTTTCCAAGATTGCTGAAATTGTCCTAGGCAACTCCAAATTCGGAAGTCAAAGAGATTCATTATCTAATAAGATAATTGAATTTGCTCAGATCTAACAATGACATTTGAGAACAATCAATAAAATAAAGTTTTTCGGCATGTCTTTAAATAAGACGGATGAATAATCGAAAGCTCAAATGGAGGTAAGCCCATTAGTTAGAGCCACAATCCAAAGATGTTAGACCTATAGCTTAAATATGCAAAGCCTATCTCAAGCTAAAATCTTCCAATCTCAACAAACCCAGTGAAAAATAAATCAAGTAGTCATGGAGTAAATCAATCAAACTACAAATGTACCACCATTAGTGAAAGATATATATGGCAATTTTCCTGTAGATATTTAATAAATCCCAAGTAAAAAACATTAATTACTAACACAATTTCAGTGGATATTTCCCATTAGACAAGGTAGATGAACATGGTAGAAAAAAAATCCATTCACAAAAGCAATATTCTAGAATTCAGTGATCATGGTTTGCATAACCTACAAGTTGAAACCCATTTCCAGAACTATATGAAAGGGCAACCTATCTTGTCCTAATTAGATACATCCAGGCATTACCATGACAATAGACTAGAACCAATAACACAAACAAGAATAATTAACATCTGTGTCACCATATAGGACTGTCATAAACTGCTTTTTCAATAGCAGTTAATATTTTGTATTTTTGTTGATACTGGTAAATGGAAAAGTAACCTCCAATTGTGTTTAATTTCTCTCAGATGGTTGAACATGAATATGAAGCACGACCAAGACAAAACACAGGAGCATTTTAGTCAACCCTCAAAACTTTCTCACTCACTGTAGTTCAGGCATCATCACTATTAGTCTAGGGAACTTTTGACCTTCTAGACTTAAATGCTCTTCCTTGGGTCCCATAAGTTTACATCACATATAAAACTAAAAGAGATCACCACATGAGTATGCCTAAAATACATTATTTACCAAAAGGCCAGGGAAGATAATATACAATGTTGATCCCTTAGCAGGATGACAATTCCTAAATGGCCCATGTACTATTGTTGCTGACTAAGAATCCTACATCTTTCAGGATTTCATGGGCTGAGCTGTTTAAACCTCACATCTTACAGCACAATGCCAAGAGTGAGGAAAGAAAACAGCATACCTGAATGGAGGTTGGAGAAATAGCAAGAAAACTGCAAAACTTAATAAAATTTATGAGAATGAGCAATTTGTTGCAATTGATATACCTCTAACACTGTTAGACTCCAATGCAGGAATTCTCCTAATTAGTCCGACCAAATAACTCTTCAACAGCTAAATCACAGGCTATGTTACATGTGTTGAAGTTCGTCAAATTTACCTTGTCGGGAGTAGAAGCACCTGAGGTCACTCCAATTGTTATTGGACCAGGAGGCAGCCAATTTTCTTTCTCAACAAGCTCTCCATGCTGTTAACAAAAATAGACAATGTCATAACTAAAACAAGGAAAGAAGTTTCTTAACAAAATACAAATAAAGAATACAGAAGAATTGATCTAATAAAGCATGTAATCATAAAGCTTACATTTAACTTATAACTTATTCTGTTTCCTGGTCCAATTCTCTGCTCGCTGTCAATCCAATAAGATGGAATTCCCTTGAGCTCTGCAATCTCTTGTAGATGTGAAGTATTACTGGAGTTCCATCCACCAACTACCAGAATGAGATCAAGTTTCTCTTCCACCAGTTTGTACATAGCATCTTGTCTTTCCTGATGAGTGCAAGCCAATTTGTAAGGGGCAGAGGCAACATCGGTGATAGAAAGGAATGCATTGTCTCTTGTATAAACCCAAAGGTATCAGTACTTATCATATCTACTTTAGCACATAAAAAGCTACTTATCATATATAGCAGCTTGCTTATAAAAGAGGTATGTAAAATCCAACAACATGAGGAATACTTGTGCATCAAAACAAGAAACTGAGAGGAAAAAAGAAAGTGACATGTTTATCAACAGAGAACCCACCACTTTATTGTGTACGTAAATAAATGTGTATGTTATTTAATATTTAATTATATATATACAATGGTTTTGCAGAAAGCTCCTGAGATATCAGAGTCTAAAAAAGTATACTCAAAAGGGGCAGAACTAACTCAGTACAGTAAAAATCTTTTACACTATTAACATTAGCTAACCTATCATCATTTACCTTACCAAAAATATGAAGTTGCAACAAACCATATGCTCAATCCAAGACCTAGTGGATATCCCTGGAGCTAGGCCTGCAACAAGCCAAATTGGTGCACAACATTGTCGAACAATATCTGAGCTATGGCCATTCCTGGATATTGTATCCATACAGAACAAAGCTGTATCCTGGCTATAACATGTGTATCTCATGCTCATTTGACCAATTAGTTGTCTTTACTTGAAAACTATAGGCCACATACCCAGCTTCCTTGGCAAAACATAATGAAGCCTTTGTCTAGGCATCTGGGAAAAAGTCGGTTAATATTATCTAGCACAAGTTCCTTATCGCTAGAGCAACTACCACATCAGCACAACATATTTCAGGAAAGTTACCCCTCACACACACACAGAGAGAGAGAGAGAGAGAGAGAGAGAGAGATTTTAGTAAAGTTACCTGAGTGGCATCACAAATGGTGTTGAAGCTAATGAAGTGCTCATTGACGTTCTCTATTCCAAATCTTCGCATCATGGTCTTCTCAACCAATTTACCTGAAATCTCAAAGCATTATATCTGACTGGAAACAGGAAAAGGCAGAAGGAATTAGTAAGCATTAGATGCATCTAACTCACCAATCTCTTCCGTTTCACCTTTGAGCATTGTAGTCTGATTTGCAATGCCTAATTTAACTAAGTCAACATCAGGATCAAATCCTGGGGAAACAGCATATTTGAACTTCTGTAAAATTCACATGAACATATCATTAAATTGGCCTTCTGTTCATGTAAATAATCTGAAAGGAGTACAACATACCTGGAGAAACTCTTCTTTTGTTGAGCTAGACCCATCTAGTTTCCCACCAAGAATGTAATCACATACATATATTGCCTGTTTTGGCAGTTGTTATATTCAATACCGTATTTATAGATACAATTTATATCAGAATGATAATCAGCTAACAGAATTGGTACCTCAGTCATGTTCTTCACAATAATGTATTTTCCTGCAAATGAGGCAGTTGCAATTGTTTCTTCGTGTGAATATTTACCATGGATTATTGAAGTATAATCCCCCTTCTTGTGCTTCTCAACAGTGTTCCAGACCTTTGTAGAAAGTAAGACATTATATATGCAGAACATATTGAAAATTTATATTCTCTTATTCTCTGCTAAGAGGAAATTACCTTCGAAACCCATGGACAAGTGGTATCCACTATCTGGATCTTCTTTTGACTCAAGGTAAACATCTCATCAACAGCAGCTCCAAAAGCAGGCAAAATTACGACATCACCCTTATCAACAACATCAAATTGTTTTTCGCCATCATCAACAGGGATGTTTTGGACTTCCATCTCTTCCAACCTCTGCAGCATTAGAACAGGATATTTTCATCTCAAGATAAAGTTTTCAGAAAACACAATTAACACAGAAGCATATGTCAAACGCCTTTTTGACTGTAAAACTAATAGTTAGCTTGTCAAGATTTTCTAAGACTGCAAAAGTAACAAGTTTATAATGAATCAAGATTTCTTTTTACCGATATGTCAATTGTAGATTGTGATGCATGTTACTTCTGGGTTTTAAAACCACCATAATTTGTTGAGGACTGAATTGAAGGCAGAGGAGTTTCCATATTTTATATTTCCAGAAATTTGTTTTGTTTTTCTTTTTCCATGAGCTTGAGCAAAGGGATTTTAGATTGGACTTCATAATTCTTCCAAGTTGCAACTCCTATGTTAGTTATGAAAGATTAAAGCATGCTAACAATAATATGAACTATGAGGTACTGTTTGAAACACAGGAATTCCAACAACGGAGCTTGAATCTATGAACGAGTTATCAACTTGCATCCATTCCAAACCTTGTTGACCGTCGGATTGTGGATGATGTCGTTAGTAATCCATATCCTCTCTTCAGGAAACTGCTTCCTCGCCTCGTAAGCAATCTGGACAGCCCGCTCCACACCCCAGCAGAACCCGTACGCCTCCGCCAGCTTCACCGTCACGTTGCCCCATGTGTACTCATTGTTGTTCTCCTTCAGCGTCTTAATCACATCGCCTGCAGTCCCAAAACACTAATCCCTATTAAAAATAAGAAGCACATAACAAACCCCAGCTTCTGTTCCCGCGACCGAGCAGCCGCCGATTCAGGCGAAATTCCAGCAAAATCGTGTCTTACTGGTATACTCCTGATTCATGAGTTCAAGGGTCTCCTCCTTGTGGCCGAACCCGCGGCGGTTGTAGTTCTCACTTCGGGTGAGGCTATGGCGAAAGGCCTTCTTGTCGAAGTCCTGTTCGATGGCGGCGCCGCCTCCGCCGTCACAGCGGACGATGAGCGACGGCCTAGCGCCAGTCGCGTATCGGACTCTGGAGGGAACAACGAAGCCGGGGAAGAGCCGCGCGAACTGCACCGAGATCGCCATCGCAAGAAGAGAGGAAGAGGAAGATGGGGCCGATGCGCCGAACAGAGTCGGGTGCGGAATGTCGCGCGTCACTCGTTGGCCATTTATCCCCTCGCCTGCCACCTCGAAATTTCTGAGGCTTTTCCTAAACGTTTTATTGCTTCCTCCTTTTTCTCTGGCTATCGGGTTTCGATCGGCTCCGTTTCGTCGCCTAGTAGCGTACTTGGTGCTTTCCAGAGAGCGGGTTAACGGGTCGGCGGAGTATTCGAGCCGGGAATGGAACCCCCACGGGACGGCTCCGATCTCATTGGAGGAACATCTCCGGCTACGTGTCAGGTTGGGCAAGCCGTGGTTTTCTACTCTGCCAGTCCGAGATCGACACGTGGTACATTGCTGTTGGAGAATGTCAGAAGAGACAACGCGCTGGTTCGAATCGACGGGTCCGACGCACGAATCGGACTACGACATGACTTTCGCTGCACCCATGTCGTGAAAAACCTGTGCTTCATGTTCCGACGTAATCCACGACTTAAAACGTGGGACACATTATCTGCGGGACCCAAGCAGTGACGTGAAACATTAATCAACCAACAGAAGTCAAGGCAAACATTAAATGATCCGATCCGATCCGATACATGCATCATGCAACACGTCGACGGATGCAGTCCCCGCGAGAGACACGAGGAATTCTTCCTGTCGATTAGGTCAATACTAATAACAACAAATCTCATCTCTTTGCAGAATCAACGAGCTACAACTATGTCCTTTATCGGGAGTCTTTCCCCCGAATTGGTCATCATCGATGCCCTTTCGAATGGATCAGTGCATGACTGAGAAAGAACCGAGAGGCCGAAAACGATTTCAGATATTCTTGGCCTTTCGGTGGAATCCTCTGTAGTGCATGCTCTCGCCATGGTTGCCAAGGTTATGGCACCATCCAAAGGATATAAGCCTTTCAGGTTGGGATCCATCCATCTCCGCAGCCTTTCCGCTCTCTCTTCTTCGGCTTCCAGCACCGTTCTTATCTCCCTCGAAAGAACACGAACTTCAGCGGCTTCAATGGCTTCCTCCTTTCCCGATAGCAACTCCAGTAAGACTACACCGAAAGCGAACACGTCTCGAGATGGTCTTATTCCGATGGTTGCAGGCTTCGCCATCGAGAAGTTGGATATCTTAGCCTTGAAGTGAGCATCAAGAAGAATGTTGCTGGTTTTAATGGCTCTGTGAACCATGCTCGGCCTTGTGTGTTCGTGCAAGTACTGAAGGCCATTAGCGACATCCAGTGCTATGTTCAGTCTCTGTCTCCACGAAAGGTGACAGGTGGAGTTCGAGGAGGAAGGGTTCGCGAACAACCACTTGTCCAGAGATCCATTTTCGGCAAATTCATAGACCCAGAAGATACGCCCATCTTCATGAATGGAGAATCCTGCCAGCTTAATGATGTTTGCATGGTTCACGATCTGAGAAATCCTCATCTCCTCTGCAACATGACCTTTTGCCTGCTTCACAGCATACACCTCGCCGTTAAGTATGGCTTGATAAACCAGAGAGCCGATCCGGAGAGCCTCGCTCAGATTCATAGTAGCTTCCATGATATCTTTGATCTCGTACATGAGTGGCTTGTCTATGAATTGGGAGACTCCAGCCAACAGCTTCTTTCCTTTGCTCATGGACTGGTTACGCGTAAGAAGATCAGCAGCAGATCTTGTGCCTATTATTGGAGTTTTGTGGCAAAACTTGGTGCAGACGAGTAGCAACAAGCTCCAAATGACCACGGCCAAAGCAGCCCCAGCCATGGTTGAAACGATGATGGCTTTCCTATTTGACTTGCTGCTGCGATCAACAGCCGGAGGGGTAGTGTTATAAAGCAGCAGAGGAAGATGCGGCTTCTCCGGCACCGGAATAAGTATCGGATGGAAAACTGCGGCACTGAAGTTTCGGTAGTTGTTAGTAGCTTCCATGGCATCTCTTGAAGAGTTCATCTTCTTGCTCAGTTGGAAGACGGTATCTTCAGCTGACCACACATAGGTTACGAGGAACTTGATGCCCCGATCCAATTGGGTCTTTTCGGGACACTTGCAGTATACTGGGACGATCACCTCCTGGCCGGGCCTCAGAGACGTTGGCTCCAGCGTCGGATTCAAGTCTTCGACAAGATGGTAATCTGTGAGGTTGCCGAACGCGTTCGTCGAAACCAGGAAGAAGTTATCACCTTCCTTGATCGTGTACGTGATGTTGGCAGAAGACCTGTTCCCGGTGCAACCACATTCTACAGGGACGACCAAAAGCTGATCCGCAGGAAGCGTGACTTCCTCGGATCGTAGATCGTTGGCTTCCTCCAACGACAAGCGGCTGACGCCGAAGAGATCGGAGATGCTCCCGAGGTCGGTGTACTCCGGTTGTGTCCGATATAACACGAAAGTACTACAGGACATGGAGGTGTTCGACGAGCACGAGAAAAGCGTGGTGTTGGTGTTGATGGTCTGAGAGCTAACGTGGAGAGGTAGGAAGAAGTGAAGGATCAAAAGGAGAGACACGGGAGAGAACTCCATGGAAGCTGAGACGCTTTGTTTGGTGAGATTAAATGTTACTGCAGAGAGATGTAGTCGATGAAAAGGTCAGCTCGCCGTTGTCGATACGGCGCTTTCAAAGGCATTTAATATGAAAGCTTTTAGGGTTTTTGTCCTGACCTTGGTTTGGAAGATGCTCTTCTTTGTCGTCCTCTCCTTTGCATATGCCGTCGGCAGAGCCCCTTCAGCTGTGATTTGGTCAACATATTGCACTGAATGACCTCAAATCCTTCATCTCTGATAACCTAGTGCAAGTGCGCAACAGTAGAATCCTGAATAAGATATCAGCTGGGATCATCTGTGACCGTGTTGCATGCATGATCTCTCTGTGATTGAGCCCTCCATAATTGTTCTTTAAGCGGCAGGTAGAGAGGTGACAAATGAAGGATGGCTATCCCTCATCATCCCTCTTGACACGGCAAAAACAATACATGTGTTTCAGATTAGGACATTGACTCTGTCGCCAAGTCCTATTGAGATTTGACTGAACTAATCACCCCTTAAGAGTGTGACCTCTCACAGACCTGATGTAGAGGTATCCTGAGATCCTACAAGAACTGTTCATCAACTTTTTCTATCACCAACAGATGCATACAGCTAATATTCCAAACCGCTATATCCAGATGATGATGATGATAATCCACCCCGCGGCATCCAAAAGAAGAGACAAGAGAGAACCGTGACAAACACACGAGAACATTGAAGGAACTCATGTGCGTCCTCATCAACCTGTGGTATGACATTCACAGGTCCACAGGTTCATGCCGAAGGGACAATTATTTCAGTGGCGAATGCATGTCGTGTCCTCGTGACATGGCAGAACATACTGCCCGGCGCTCGGTAGATCCTGCCTTGTCCCGTCAAATGTTGCACGAGCCTTTAAATGAATTCACGTGAAATCTCCAGAGCTAACGTTCAGAAGAGATTCCCAACATCACATGCCCTTTGGCTTTTGGTTGATTTGTTGCAAGCTTTTATGCTGCACTTCGTTTAACGCTGTCTTCTTTCTGCTTAGGGAATTTATTTATTCATCATCATACCCTGGACTGTGAACCGAGAGTAAGGATGAAAAGGAAGAGGAGAGCTTGATGCAGGACAGGAGAGAAGGTGGCCGTGTGTGTGTGAGATAGAGAGAGATTGAGATAGAGAAGGATGAGTTCTGGTTGTGCAGCGGGGTTGTGCTTGGGTCCGACGCCAACGATGGTGAGATATGAGAAGTTGACAGCAACAAAGGAGAGCGCTGCTTCCTCCCCGAGGTTCACATGGTGGAACGAGACGCATTCCGGCTGGCGGAAGTATCTCAGGACCCACACTTCATCCGAGAAGGAGACGGCGCCAGAGAGGACAAAGAAGTGGCTAAAGGAAAAGAAGGAAAAAAGGAAGAAGAAGAAGATGATGATGAAGAAGAAGAAGAAGAAGCGAGTGATAGCAAGTAACTCTTCCTGTTTCGCTTTTAGAGGTATGCTCGATTGCCTCCTTTCTTGTATGGTGAAGGTAGATGTTGTAGAACATTGACTAGGGAGGCGATGACAGAGAGGAAGTCATTAATGTCGGAATGCCTTCCTTTGACCATCATATATAGTTTGATTATGCAATAGAAGTATGTAATGCTTGGTTTTGTGGTGGCACATCATCAACATTTTGATAAGATGTAGCGGTTTCTATATCAGATTCAATTCCGCAAGCAAATGAGTTCTACCATCTGCATCTATTTTCTAGTGTAAAGACTTATCCGGCTAGCGTTTGGAGATCCGATTGCCAGAAAATAACACACATTTTAATGCGTGACATAGTTTAATCTTCATGGGAGCAATTTATAAAAATATATATCTATTTTATTGTCTTAATATTAGCCATATTTTAATTTTTGATATATATATTTATTATATTTTCTCAATTAGTACCTCGTATTTCTTGGAATCCTATAAATACCATTCGTTACGCAATTGTCCGTTGCCTTTGCTCCCTCCATATGTTCTACTCCTTCACTATATGTTGATCCTCCTTTTATACTGGATCATGGCATCATTAACTCTGTTTCGTGCATCATTTACCTTTATATATTGTATTGCTATTTATGAAGGAGAGGACATACGAAAGAAATCCGATATCATCGAAATATAACATATATATAGAGAGAATAAGGATCGATAATTAGTAATACGCGACGGACGATGTCAAATGAATCTCATATAATATTTAAAGATATATTTTTTTAAATCACCCATATATTTATAATTAATCTCATTTTAAATTTAATAATGACAATTATACTATTTCTAAATTATTGAAAAAAAGGTCGAAAACACGTATCATAACAATAACAATAAAAAATGGAGCATTGATCAGAGACCGTTCATTTAATAGATAGAAAGTGGGACCATGATATCAGCAGATGAGAACCTGCGTCCGCCACGTTGGAAAAATTGCAATCCTTCTTCTCACCCGCTCAAACGCCCCTCATCCGATCGCAGAGAGCAAAGCACTGAACCAAAACTAACACCACATCAAGGAGAGGCAAAGAGGAAGAGGAAGAGGAATGGAGGTGTTCTCGTTACGATCTCTACCTTGTGCAGCTCGACCCCCCTCGAGAACTTGGAAAAGGGCTCTCGTAGAGCGACTCGCCGCCGTCTCCGGCCGATCCCTTCCGGCCCCAGGGAAACCCTCGACGTGCCCTCGCGATGGAAACCCTCGATCCCTCTGCTCCCGGCCTCGGGCTTCCGGTATTTGGCATCCCTTTCTCCCTAAGCCCTTCTGGTTTGTTTTCTTGGTGGGATCCCCAGAGTGACCGGGTTTCATGTAGATTTCTTTATGTGCTTCCGATTGCATTTTGGAGCTCTTGTTGGCATCGTCTTGCGGTCGTTCTATGTTCAAGCCCTTGATGCTTATTCGCGAGATCTGGCTCTGTTTGGGAAGTCAAGAATCTTAACACTGACACTGTAATGCAAAATGTTAACTGGGTCGAAGAGTCGGTATCTTGACGAGTTCTTGAGCGGCGATCATCAATAAGAAAATTAGCTGTAGATTCCATCGAGATTTCCACCTTGTAAATGTGATAAATAAATAGCTTGCACTTTGTTTCTGATATGTTTTCTGTTGTACGATCCACGCAAGCGGCAGTTTCATCCGATGCCAAGGCCGGGGAAGTAAGTAAACAGGAAATGAGCTCGAAGGATAAAGATCTTGTGTTTGTTGCTGGTGCAACCGGTAGAGTTGGTTCACGTCTTGTAAGGTAGAATGCCTCTTTCACCATAAGAAGAATATAGAGATAATATCTTTGTTATAGAATTTTGGAAAGAATGTTCTTTCAATTCTTTCAGGGAGCTTCTGAAACTTGGGTTTCGAGTGCGAGCAGGAGTCAGGAGTGCGCAAAGAGCAGAACCACTAGTACAGGTAGGAGTTACATGCTCCCGGCCCTGCCAAATAAAATTTGTTCTTATGTCGAGAAGAGCTTCAGAACTCTAATTTTTCTCTTATTTATCTGCATTTTGAAGAGTGTTCAACAAATGAAGCCTGATGTCGGAACTGGACCTTCAGGAACTGAACGTAAGATACAAATGTTCTAGCTTTTTGAGTAAGCTCAAGATTCTTCCATCTTAATTTCAGCTGCCGCATATTGTCAGTAACAGATGTACTCTGGCTTTTAGACCAGCTGCAGCGAAGCTTGAACTCGTTGAATGTGACCTTGAAAAACAAGGTGACATAGGACCTGCAATAGGTAATGCTTCCACGGTTTTGTGCTGCATAGGAGCCAGTGAGAAGGAGATTTCTGACATAACAGGACCATATCGAATCGACTATAAAGCTACTGAGAACCTTATAAAAGCTGGTAAATCAGTAGATTATCTCTGTCTGACTATGCTTACATTATATTGCAGTTGTCAGATTTTTTTGCTTCAAATATCTTGATTAATTATCCTGAGTTGATATACTAGAAATGATTCTCTTTGTATGAAATGTTGTTTGTTCTATGGTCAACTGAACTTCTCTATGAACTTTTTCATTTCATCGTCTCAAATTGTTCTTTCGGTTTTTGTAGACTAACCATGCATTTTACATGAAATCTATTGCAAATCTGTGATATGCCTGGGCTAATTTATCTTTAACATCCTGCTTCCAGAAACTATTCATCTTGAGAGTTTTTTCATCTAATGAAATTTCTATATATCTGTGGCTCTTAGTACATTTATTATACTATGCAGCAACTGTCGCAAAAGTTGACCACTTCATTCTGCTTACATCTTTGGGAACAAATAAGTTTGGGCTTCCAGCTGCAATTCTAAAGTAAGTGATTTGCCTTTTTTCCTTTTTCTTGATAGTAATGGTCAATTTAACTGACAATTACTTCGATCAATCTTTAAGTCACAAGTGAATTATATGACTACCTGGAAAGCCTTTATTAAGCATCCAGTGAATGCAGTGATGTGTAGTGCCACATGATTGCCACTGATCTTTTTTATGTGTGAGTTGGCATTGGCGAAATATATCAGCCATTTAACTACTTCATAAATGCTAGTTACTCAAGTATTAAAAAATGAGTTTTGTTCTGACTAGTGAACTTTCTTTGGCTAAAGCTTGTTTTGGGGAGTCCTCTTCTGGAAAAGGAAGGCAGAAGAAGCATTAATTGCCAGTGGTCTACCTTACACAGTATGTGTGATGATTTAAAATGACCGAATAAGAATTATTAGACTAATTGATATCCAAAGTTCTTTTTCAAGCTCCACCACATATGTCTGACAGATAATATTTTCATATCCATGGACTAAATTAGCTTATTTGATTCTCAGATAGTAAGGCCAGGGGGGATGGAACGACCCACAGACTCTTATAAGGAGACTCATAATATTGTCCTTGCTAATGAGGATACTTATTTTGGTGGACAAGTCTCCAACCTTCAGGTTGTTTGTGTTCTCTAGCATCATTCGAGTCTCCTTTTCTTTCCGTAGTGTCTTTTGCCTGAACAACTCAGAAATTTTTCTTCAGACAAACCTCCAATGCATTGACATCTATGCTTAGTAGTTATTATCATCATATGCTTACTAGTTACTATCACCATATAGTTTTCTGAAATCCCGGAAGCACCTGCAGTTCAATATAAACCCACTTTAGCCTTTTGTCTGAAATAATTGCCAAACTAATCCTATAATCATATGTGTTCTGCGCATATTGTACTTCTTATTCTTTACTAGATTGCATTTCCAATATGTCTTGACATCTGACACTGGAGATTCTGTCCCAGGGTAGTATGTCATATTAGTTTGGATCACAGGATTGTTTAAAAGGTACTATGCTCATCATATTGAACTCTTCAATCAAAAAAAATTAAGGCAAAGAAGAAACTATGAGCTATTGTGTTTATAATGGCACCTAATGTGATTCTAATGGTAAAGCAGATTTCGTGTCCATTTATTGAATAAGGAGAGAGAAAATACCATCATGATGTGAATTCTTTGTCACTAAATGATTATGAAACTGAAAGGATTACTAGTGCAGGTTGCAGAACTCATGGCATTCATGGCGAAGAATAGAAAGATCTCATACTGCAAGGTTGTCGAGGTGATTGCTGAAACAACTGCACCACTGCTGCCTATGGATGAGCTTCTTTCCAAGATTCCTTCACAACGGGTAGGTCACTGACAATAATTTTGTAACTAATCTTCCATTTAAGTTGATGTTGCAGAAACAAATAGACAAATACAATTTAGTTTCGTGGATCATATATTTATCTCTTTTCTTTAATATTTTGTTTATGAAGCAAATCAATGCAATATTTAAGTCGATGTTGTTGGCACCGAAACCAATGATCTTGGTTTTCTGAATCCATATCAATGCAATATTTGATAAGCAATTTAAAGATTGAGCTTGGTCTAAGAGTTAGGCTCTCTTGATCATTTTGCTGATTTCAGGAACCACCGGCCGAGATTGTGAAGGATGTTGCACGTTCAAGTACTGAACCGAAACCTACCAAGTTAGTTGTGGAGGAAGAACCTGAAAAAACTGAAGGACAGAAGACAATACCACTTTCTCCTTACTATATGTGAGCCACTTTTTCCAATATATTTTATACATCAGAACTAAAACTTGTTCACTTAAATTGATGATTATATATAGGTATGCTGACCTGAAGCCGCCAAGCTCTCCAACTCCCATCCCAAGTGCTACACCTGGAAGTTCAAAAGAGAAACAGGTGGAGTTTGTACAAGCTAAATCAGAGCCTGAACCTACATCAACTTCATTAAGTGCATCCAAATTGTCTGAAGATGTTGCCAAGAAGGAAGCTGGCCAAGTTCTAGCCCAGAAAACTAGGCCTCTCTCTCCTTATACAGCGTAAGCAGTTCATCTTACTCGTCTAATTTTGTTTCTATTACATCCAGGGTCCCTTGAGCATTCCAACTGTCCAATGTACTGCTGTTCTGGCAGGTATGAAGATCTGAAACCACCTTCCTCTCCATCCCCAGTGGACTATAAAGCAGAAAACTGTAAAGCTACAACAAATCCAGTCATTCCAGAGTCTCCTGAAGTTCCACATGGTAACTCGAGTTACCGGTCACCATTTCCCGTGTATGGCTACATTAGTACTATCTTTGTAAATTTAGCTTTTGGAGTTTGAAATTAGTATGATTCCTACTGAGCATTACAGAAGCAGGCAATAGTAGTAGTGAAATTTCATCTTTTCCCATGCTACTTCTGCATTTGATTACACACTGATATGAAAGTTGGACACACCAAACTGAAATTTGGAAAAATGAACAAGACAGTGAAACTAAACTAGGGCGCCTTGGGTCTTTCTTTCTTATTGTTTATGAATTGTGAGGAAAGTGGCAGAGATGTTCATAACACCGTGTTATAAGCCTTACAAGAATTTTCGTTAATGGTCAGCACCAAATGATATGTTCTGGACCTGTGTGATTTAGATCTATGGAAGCCTTGAAATAAAGTTTGGCTTGTTTGGTTTCTAGAAGCATGAAAGGGTATTCGGTTATGATCAACATATCCCTTCATAGGAATGCTAAATTTGAAAAAACCATCACAAATATTCCAGTTTTTCTGGTTCTGCTTATTTCATAGAACACACTAGCATCGGGCTTTCAGCAATCCACTAATTTTCCTTTGTTAATTTTTCATCACTTGAAATAACCACTAATTTTCAGCCCTAGTAGTCCAATGTGAAAGTCTTTTCATACTGGCTGGCACAATCATGTTTAGAATTTAGAGAATCTACTAAGTTTTTGTATATGAACAAGAATATTCAAGATGTCACATACTGCTAGATACATTCTCGTTTTAGTTGTATGCCAAATAAAGTTTTAGCAGTGTAACTTAACAATAGAAAAGCAGCATCATATTTCTCATGTATACTTCTTCCATTCTCTGAATTTGTGGAAGACCTTTATGGTATGCTGATTAAATCGTCATATTTTACATCTCCAAGTCCATCTGTTACTGTGTGTTTGGATGCTCTCCTTGCCACATCCACATGCAAATGCATCCGGGACTAAATAGAATGCTAAGCAACCAAAATATCGGACTCTTCCACTGATTTTATTTTATTGTTCTCAAGCTCAATCAGTTATTTTCTAACGATTTTGAACTTATTAATTGACTAGGCTTTACTTTTATTGTATATGCAGGTACGAAGATTTAAGGCCTCCGGCTTCACCGGCACCATCCTTGCCAAAATATTAGCACGAGGATGAGAAGCAAAGTAATGTTATGAGTAAAACAAAAATCCATCATCGATTTGTATACTAGTACGTACAACCTTAATTGATTAACATGCATCCAGGTACATATGACTACATTTATCTCTGGAAGACACAAGCTCACAAAAAGTTTCTAACCGAGTTCCAGAAGATCAACCATTTCTGGAGATGGATGCGAGTTAATTTTCATGCAGAAGACAAATTTATTTGCATTGCTTATATTGTTATATATTTCTTTCCTGTTGCCCATGTATATCAATTCGCCGAGCTACTGTCAGTGCAGTTTTAGCTGGAGACTAAAAATAATCGAAGTCCTGTTAGTTTCTCTTCATGGAGAATTTCCTTGTCACATCACTTTACATGTTATGTGTTCTTATAGTTAATTGTGGCATAGTTATTCGGTTATTTTCAGTAGAACATGATTAGATGATAAGTGACGATGTCAATGTACTTGGAATATGATTTCTTAATTGGCTTTGGAGGATTATGATTTCAGATGTAGCAGGTCACATCTATATGTTCCCCATGATCCCCACCTCTCAAATCATCAAGAGACTCGAGGGGTAGGGAGAAGTGGAAGACGTGGGCATCGCCTGTTACGCGATCGGTACTAGTAACTAATTCATTGTAATTTATGATGATCCTGTTGTATTCCAAATATTGTGAACTTGAAGAACTTGATCTGAGAAGTTTGCATTTAGAAAATTATGTGAAGCATGAACATTACTTTTTATCGAAGTTTAGGATCATATTATGATTCTATTTTTCTTAATGTTTTCTTGATGAAAGTCTTTAAATAAACTGCTTAAATTAGATTGTTCTTTTTAATGAATCTCCCAAGTGAAGATTGAGCACCGATCTTACAGCATGCAATCGTGAATCTGCACACATCTCAAAGCATTCCGCCGTTGCAGGAGCGCCGATGGTGACAGGTGAGAGACATTGGCCGGGGGTACACGAAACAGTCATGTCCTTTAACTCGGCACCTGCGGAGCTTTGCACGTCTGATCACACTCCATCACCAATCAATCACACCAAATGTCAAATGTGGGTCGACACGTAATCAAGGTCTTTATTTATTTATATTCTATTCAAATGAAACGTAGATGAATGATGAAATGGACGACCATGAAAATAGAAGAGCAAATTGACACAGTTACTAGGAGTGAAAAGGAAGTGTCTTCCCTTGCATCCGAGAGGCCACAGAGTTAGGCTGCCTGCCACACCTAACCCTAATCATAGTCGTCCTGTAGACATGCAGGCAGACAGGGAAGACAACAGTGCATTTCGTCAAACAGAAAGCGTGCAAGACCAGGCCAGGCCAGCATGTGCGTGTCTCACTCTTCTTCCCCCTGTATCTATCTATATAAATCTTGTATCTTCAAGAAAGACGTCGACGTCTCAACCATTCCACCCTCTTCTCCCACACCTTCCTCCTCTGTCTTCTTCCCTCTCCTCTATCCTTCCATTCCCACTTCCCTCTTCCTCATCTCGATTTCTCCGCTTCGGAAAGAAGGGAAGAGGGGCTGCGATGCGCTCGCCACAGGCTGAGGCTGGGTGAGAGTGTGATGTTGGTACGGCTCAATCAAATCAACTGCGATTTGTGTAGCTATATATATAGCTTGATCCGATTGAGCCGTGCCAATATCGCTCTTTGCTTAGTCCATTCGATAAACCGGAGAAAGAGAGAGGCGGCGATGGCAGGTTTATTGCATCGAGGTGATCTTTTAAAGGTATGTATCCAATTGTCCATATCGATTGCAATGACAGCAGGCGTTGCAGCAAAGGAGAGATCACCCGTCAAGGTATGCAATCAATTGTCGATATCGATCATGCAAATAGCTGTCCTCCTTTAGAGCTCTGTATTATTTTATATGCAGATGTAACAATCGAAGGACAATTCATGCTTAAGATTCAAAGTATACTATAGAAGGACAGTTTTCTGACATCCCTTTTGCATCTAATCCAGAGTATAACAATTATTTTTATTGTTTTTTTTGTTGTTGTCATTATTCAGCTGGTTTCATTTTTGGACCATAAAACACATATTTCTTTGACTAATCAAAGAAGCTGTATACAAACATCTTCATTTCTAGCTTAAATAGCCAGTTTATTTCACATACTATTATGAGGTGATTAGTTCATAGAGCATTGCGTGTTCATCAGAAATTGTAGACAACTATTAAGCCTAGCTGGGATATTATGACCAATTGTTATTGTTGTATGATCATTAGAATGACCGATATAATTGCTAGACGATGTAGATGTATGTGTTTACAACTATTGCATTTCATAGTTGGATAGAGACCAAAGCAATTAGAACAAGGAGATACAGTATATGTGGGAATAGTACACATGCATTTTTCCTTGACCATGATAACGCAGTCTACCACGTAAAGCATCAAGAAGATGAATCAACTACATCGACCCAGAGAACCCATGGCCGTAGCCGAATATGCCGGCAAGAGGAGAAGGACGCATGTCGCCTTCGTTCTTGACGGCGAGAGCCCCCTGCATGGCGACGGCGTCATCGGGGAACTGCTGCTTGGGAACGAAGGACTGTTGTAGGAGCTGGTCGGCCCTCCTCGCCACGTTGTTCCGCAGCTCCACCAGCCGCCTCTCGAATTCCTGCAGCTCCTCCATGTCGAGGCTCTCGACGTCGGCGTCCCAGTAGAGCTGCTCCGCCGCCTGCACCTTCTTCATGGCCTTCTCGAGGGCGTTGCGCTTCTTCTTCTCGGCCTCGGCCAGGTCGTGCAGCTCCATGCACCGGCGGTTGAGCTCGCAGACGGCCGCCTCGCGGCGGGACTCGGCCGCCTGCGGGTGCGGGTGGCCGGCGAAGAAGCGGTCGACGACGGCGTCGACGGTGGGGTGGCCGAAGGAGAAGACCTTGCCGGCGGGGGAGAACACGACGACCCCCAGCTCCGCGCCACAGAGGATGGTCAGCTCGCTGGCCTTTTTGAAGAGCCCACTACGGCGCTTAGAGAAGCACACTTGTCGCGCCTCCTCGTTCTGTATCCTCTTGATCTCTATCTTCTGCCGCCCCATGCTGGGCTTCCTCCTCACCATTAGAAAGCACAGAGAGAGAGAGTTCAACCTCAAAAGAAGCAGCGTGATCGAGCAGTAAGGCCAAAACCATGCAAACTTCGTCGTCTACCATTACGGAATGGAGGGGTTGGAATTATATATATGTATATATATTATGTGTGTAGAGAGAGAGAGAGAGAGAGAGAGAGAGAGAGGGAGAGAGGGGTGTCAAAGATATCATCGGTACGTGAAATGATCGAGGAAAGTAGTGAATACAGGTAGCTAAGAATGTCTGAGTTGGAGATCCTGAGGTGATGGCAGTAATCTACAGGCATAAATGGAACATAAATTGCCGTAAATGCTTTCTTTTCCAGCAGTGATGCTTGGTCGGAAATCCAACATAATTCGCGGGGAAGCTTTCCGGCTGGTCCGAGCAAACTAAGTTGGGAATCGATTCGATCCATTATTTTCTTTCCGGATTTTGCCGGAGGTTAATTACTCGACCCGAATCCACAATCAGCATACATCCATATCACACGCATGCTTCCCATTTCCTCTAGTGATGCGATGACGACAGTGCCCACGTGTCAAACATGTGATTCCTACGATATACTATACTTACCAATCGCCAGATTTAATTTTCGATTGAGATAGTTTTGGATGCATCACGTCAAAGTATTGAGATTATTTTTTGTGGATTGGTAGAAGAGGAGTATAACATATTATAATGTTTGTAAGGCCCTCGAGATTTACCTCAACAGTACTCAGCATTATTTATGGCTCGAAGCCATCCATCCATCCATCATTTATTGTAGTCACAGAATACTCCCACCTCTCTCTCTCTCTCTCTCTCTCTCTCGCTCGCTAACTACGAAAGATCGAACACAGCATGAGCATATCAAAGCGACGTTAGTCTAGTACGGCTTCTGCCCCTGGACGTTGCCATGGGGAAGGTAAAGGCAGAGCGTGAGCGTCGACCCTCGCTTGCCACAGGTGGCCTGAGCGCATCCCACCTCCGCCGTCTTCCTCCACACCACCTGCGTGTACGTCCCGCACTCGTGCCCCGCGGCGCACGAGTTGTTCTCGTAGCTGTAGTACTTCCTCTCCCCCACCCACGACCGCACCGCCTCCTCGGGGCTCACCGGGTAGCTCGTCCACGCCTGGTTCGCCCCGTAGGTGCTCGACTCCAGGTCCGCGAACTCGCAGCTCCTGTTCTGTTTCTGGTGGCTCACCAGCGCGCTCGCACTCGAGCTCAGGTTCGCGCTCCACTGGAGCGGCCCGACCAGGACCGCCTTCCGCGCCTCGTTGTGGCCGGTCAGGAACTGGTCCGCCGCGGTGGGCGCCGTTCTCGCCAGGAGCCCGCCCCGGCGGCCGGCTTCCACCGGGCCGCTGCACCTCAGCACGGCCACCGCCAAGACACAGGAGAGGACGAGTCGGTAGAACCTCCAAGCCATCATCATCACTCGCTCGCTTCATTTACACCATTCGGAACTCTGGTATATAAAGATCTTGATCGCTGTCATCGGCTGCCATCGGCGCACTCCATGCTTACCTTTAATTAATGTCTTTCACGTTTACTTTGATTCCTCGGGCAGTGGAAAAAGCGAGCGCCATGTGAGCGTGTCGCGATGCCAGGGAGCATCCCTGCTTCGGACGTACGCCCTCGTCGATTTCTGTCTCTTTCTCCTCTTCCTTGCAGCAGCTGAAAGACATATAAAAGTATGTCTACTGCAAACGACGAAAGCACGCATCTTAACGCTGCCAATCACGTCTCCGCACAACTTTTAATGATGCCTGCCATACAATTAAGAATAATGCAATTTAAATGTCTAAAACATCCTTACCGTTTATTTATTACGAAGAAGAGGAGAAAGGCCATATTGCATTAGCCGTTTCCTCTGTTTTATGCGGGAGAGCGAAGAGAAGAGCGGGCGTTCAGAGAGAGAATCTCCCTTCGCTCTGATCATATATACAAACACCTGGAGCGCTAGAATCTCGGACCAAGAATAGGGCTCTCTTGATCCGAGATTATGGCGTCGATGGAGGGGCGAGGGAGAGAGAACGGACCCGTTGCCTTTCGCTCTGCGGTCCTATATCCCGTTTGTCTGCCTGCCTTGCGAGGAAGAAAAGCAGAGGACGAGAAACGGAAGGGAGGAGGTAGGTGATCGGTCGGCGCTATGGCGAGGTCGAGCGCGGATGACCTGGAGCTGAGGCGGGCGTGCGAGGCGATCATCGACGGCGGCGGCGGCAAGCAGAAGGTGGTGCTGTCGATCCGCGTCGCCAAGAGCCGCGGGGTCTGGGGCAAGGCCGGCAAATTGGGCCGTCACATGGCCAAACCCAGGGTCCTCGCCCTCACCAGTACGCTTCCCCCGTCCCTTCCTCCCGTTCTTGATTTCCCCTTCTTTTCTTGATGATGCCGCTTTCTTGATTTCTTCCGCGTGTCCTTCTGCGCGGTACCCGTCTCTGTACGAACCCAATCTGGTTCTTGTGTTCTCTCACCTTCTGGCATTTTCTTGATTTTCTTCGTTCTATGTTCTTTCATTCAAAATCCGTAAATAGAGGTTGTTCACTTTCATCCGTCGAGGTTCATGATTTCACCGTGTTACCGTCGTGCCCTTCGTTTATTAGACGTGCAGCGTAGGTCGATCATCTTTGATCATATTTGCTTTTAGTTCTGTACTAAAATGTCGCAACCATTTCGGCACTATTGCATTCTTGAGGCTCTATGCGTGGGATGTAACGGCAACTATGTCTGATCATGCAGCCAAAGCAAAAGGTCAAAGGACTAAGGCTTTCCTTCGCGTTTTGAAATACTCTGGCGGAGGAATTCTTGAGGTAACTTCAAAATCACACGAGTCCCTTATGACGCAATTAGTTACTTATATTGATAGAATTAATGGAATACGTTTGATAGAATTAATGGAATTTGTCGTTCAGGTATCTGGAAATTTTGCTTTCATGATTCACACAAGTTAGAGACAACACTCATGATTTACGAGTCCAATATCTTCATGCCTCGAGAACTGATTGGAGTCTTTCATGGCAAACCAAAAGGCCTATTTGAAAATGTGGTGTTTTTGGAATGTCTCAGACTTCATTTCAGGACACTAATTATTAAATTACACTAGCAAAAAAAGCATGTGGGATGCACCGGAAAACATAAGTGAACTGTATCATAGCATATGTTTTGCATAAAACAAAAATAAAAGATATTAAAAAATATATTTTGGGTTTTGGATAAACATAAAACATAGGTTGTTATTAGAAGAAGTAATTGATAACTTAGCTTTTCATAATTACTTATTAAAATCTTGACTTATTGTTAACTTAGTTTATTATTAATATCTTAGTTTTTCAAAATTCATTAGTAACTTAGTTTCAGGAAACCCTATAGTGATAAATTAAACCCCAGTTAGTGTTTGAAAGCCCACCAGTTAAAATTTTTAAATCAACAAAACATCAATAAGGGAATGTATCACTTTGCCGACCTAAGTTTAAAGCCTTCATGAAATAAAGTACATTATCATTTAAACTACTTGAGTTACTTTACGAACAAGCATCATGGGTTTTCCATGGCCGCTCAATGTTAACATGTGGACATGGCAATCAGAACATCACATTGAGATTGTACCAATATGGTACAAAGGTCTACCTGTAGGACAATTAGGTCTGCGTATGGGGGTGCTAACATGACACTGATGCTCCGTCAATGTCATGATTACATATTGTCAGTGCAGTGTTGATTACGCATAGGTAGGATGCGGACATGACGCTAACATGGTATTGACATAGCACTTCTATGACAAGATAATAGGCCATGTTGCACCAAATCGTTGTTGGTCTCCCTAGACGTCAGTGAATATGTGCATTACTTATCCATTACGTATCTAAACTAGCCCTCTAGGGAAATAACATAAGATCTAAATGCTAAGGGTATTTTTAATATAAATTTGTTTTTAACTCTAGGTTTGTGACAAAAGATTTATGGTGCTGACGGAGGATAATTCAAGTGGGTTAAGTAATGCAAGATAGACAGATCTCATGTTAGCTCAGTGAAATAAAGCCTAAACTCAGGTTGGTTAAGTGATAAATTACTTAATCATTAAAAAAAAAACCCACAATTAACAATCCAGAGTTCAGGATTTTATAGATTCCCCCAAGGAATCATATCATAAGGAAGTCAGGTGGCCATGTTCTCTCTTTTTCACTTGATGGATGTCATGTAGAACTGGTAAAGCATCATGGTTCTATCCTCACAACTTATGTTAATTTTGTAGCCCGCAAAAATATACAAATTAAAGCATCTTTCGAAATTGGAGGTCGTTCAAAATGATCCAAGTGGCTGCACCTTTATGCTGGTACCTCCGCGACGTACTTTGTTGTCTATCCGTTTGTTCTCATGCTAATTTTTGTTTCAATAGAGCATATTGTGGTCTGTCTTACCTACCGAATCCTATCATTTATTTACCCTGACTTTTTATGCTTTAGGGATTCGATAATCTTAGAAGCCAAAGTGTTGCTCCTCCTCAATGGACGATGAGGAACAAAGATGATAGGTGGTTTCCTAAACACATCATGTACTCACATTTGTGCACGAGGAATGCCATAATAAGTTATATGTATGTATGTTTTCTTCTTTGCAGGAACCGCATACTTCTGTGCATTTTAAACATTTGCAAGGAGATACTAGGACGGATTCCAAAAGTTGTCGGTATAGATATAGTGGAAATGGCTCTTTGGGCAAAGGTGAACTTATTCTTTTTCATGTGTGTATAGATAGCCAGAAATAATCCTCTCATATATATATATATATATATATATATATATATATATATAAACACATTAGTTGTCTTTTGATTGGTTGAAAAAAGAAGCTAGGTGGGTTATATCAGCAATGATTATGATTCTTATTATTTATGAATGCACCATTCTATCAACTATTATCAAATGATTTGTTCTCGGTTTATTGCAGTTATCGTATTAGCTCATCTGGTTCCTGTTTTTCCTGCTCCTGTTTTTTGTCAGATATATCGTGTGTCTGTATGTATGTTTAGAGCTTTCATTGCATGTATTAACATCCTCATCTTGAGTATAAATTGTGCTCCTTTTCCTTGGGTCTTTAAATTTTGAAAACTTTGTTCTTGCTATCAGATGATTTGGTCTCGGCAAGGTTTTGTTTGTTTTTACCATGGTGTTTACTTGTTTAATCTATCGGAATGCACTCGTTACCAAGTCTTTGTTATGATTGGTGGGTTAGCATAACTTTCTTTTTCAGGGAGGGCCATCAGGAATCTAGTTACTCCAAGTTGAACTGCATATCCATAGAAATTGACAAATTTATATAGCTCAATTCTAATACAGAAGTCAGAAAACACATGTAGATATTTTGTGCTAGCGTGGTTGGAAATTGAACCATTTGCAGAAGAGAAACATTGATTTTAGATACATTGATCCCAGAAGAAGACAATGAAGAAATAAGTTCTTCAAAAAAGTATAATTAGGAGTATTGCATGTCGTGAACTTTTATTTTATACTTAAAAATGAAATTCCAGATGTGACAGTGGTAACACTAAAAACCTACCTAATTCATGTTCTCTCAATCACTATCCATCACCTACGCTTGAGTTCTCCATGTACCTTGATAAATTGACAGTGTAAATCAACCTCAGAGCATACAAAATTTTATGATTTGTTGCAATCCTTTTACTTAGAACTAGCCACATCTTGGGGATAATATACATTAATCAGCTTGATATTCTTGTTTTAAAATAGGAATTCAAATGGTCTCTGTTTGAATACACCTTTGAATACATAAATAGGAATCCTTATTTTAAAATGTCGCTTTCTTTTAAAAGCTCTTGATGGCTATACGTTAAGCCATATTTATAGAGAGGGGAATGAATTAGCTAACTGGATGGCTAATCACATGGCTGTATAGAATTTCTGTTTTTGGAGAGGGGACTGGTCCTCTCATTTTCTTTTACTTGTTCACTCCGATTTAAGGGGTGTTTTTTGTGCTCGTTTATCGTAGTAATACACATTTCTGTCTTAGTGAAAAAACAGACCTGTTTGACTCAATTGAGAAATACCTCATAATCATTTTTTTTAATGTGCATCACTGAATCCAAATAATATATTATAAATCATGTATTTTTTGTTCCAGGAAAATACTACTGCAGTAAGTAATCAACTGAGTGCTGAGGATGGGCGAGATGCATCTGCTATGATTCAAAGCAATGCACAGGTTACTGTTGAAAGAGACCTGGTCTCACAAGCTGAAGAAGAGGACATGGAGGCCCTCCTTGGCACGTATGATTTTTTTGCATTATTTTTAAAATTAGATATAGTTTTTGCTTAGTCTTCAGGTTTTCTAACTTGCATTTTGTTGGTTTTAATTTCAATACTGGCCAATTATGTGATCAGCAACATAGCATGTAAAGTTTAATTCTATTATCATCTTTGCAGTTTCAATGATGACCTAACATTATGCTTGTAATTATTTACTTAAATCTCCACCTCCTTCTGGTCTATGCCTACTTGGACTGTAGTCCAGTTGGTTAAGAAGCAAGAAAAGACTATCATTGTTGGTATCTGTTTACTAATAAACAAATGTAAGTTGCTTTTTTATAATATTTTTCTTCTCTTTTGTTGATAGCAGTAGATGTGTTTAACTCGGGATCCTACAAGCAGATATATTAGCAAACATTTGATAGACAATGCAAATTCCAAACATAAACTTCACAAACTCTAAACGATCACGTGACGAAAGGTCCAAGGTGATCCTTACGGCCAAAAGTCCACACAAGAGCCCACATGACACCACTGCGGAACAAGGCAGTGAACCGACCTTAAACTCTACCCCAAAGGCTTATCTAGCCATGTACCACCAGGGTAACTCCAGAGTGTTATGCTGGCTGACACTCTGTACTACTCTGCGGAGCTAGAAAACCTCCAAAATAACTGTCTAGATAATTTGTTTTTGGGTAGTTTTGCCTCCGTGTGATGACTGCACACAACCTGCGTTTATAGGACTAAAACAGCCACAAAAGCTAATCAAATGAGGTTGTCAAGCCTACTGCAAGTTCTCTATATGCTATGCAAAGCAAGAACAAAACAAAAAAACACGGACATACACAAACATTATATACCTTGTGTAATCGCCTGTGCCCGTATGTGCCTTTGACATGCATTTCTTGGGTTATAACAAGTTACTAATGCAAATGTGCTTGGAACACTGATTGCACTGATTGGGAAAAGATGGTAAAGGGGAAAAAAATACTGGTGGCTGGTGAGCATGCTTTGGTGTATCTCTCCAGGACAACATTAATTTAAGTTAGGGGGGCTTTGAGGAGGATCGAGGAGGCCAGGATGAGCACCAGCTCAAAGAGACTAGGCGGGACCTCAATCAATTTTGTAACCATCGTGTATGAGATTTGTGACACATTTGACTTGAATATATCCAATGCTTATTCTTGGTTATGTAAGTTTCCTTATTTAAGCTATGTATACTGATAGCAATAAAGTGAAAAGTAACATCTTTACCTGTACTGCAATTGAACAACCATGTGCATGATGTGCAGTTTTTTTTGTGCCATGATAATTTTAGAATGTCTTCAGTCTACCACCCCACTCAAGATGGCAATTTAGATCCATGCTTGTCATTTTGGTCTCTATGATCTGTATTGTTATATTATACACGTAAGGAAAACTTTTTGCTTGTAGGTATCTGATTTTAGGTGCATTTGGTTGCAGGAAAAGTAGAAAAACACAATATGTAATTGTCTATCCAAATAATAAATAGTTGGTGAAGGTAAAACCATCTCTTTTTACTTGTTTTGGATTGTCATCCACTTCAGCGTTTCTATTTCATGTCAGTTCATCTGTCATGGGTGTTAATATTTTGAAAATATATCATTCATCTTCCATGATGTTAGATTCCGGGGCAAGCTCACCAAACTGAGAGCGGTATATTTACTTATGGTATGACCAATACTTTACATATATGTAATGAGCGGACATCTACAGGTTGTGCATTACATGAAATTGTTGACAATGTACACTTTGTTTTATCCATCTATCCAATGGAACAACATCTCGATGAGGTAAAATTAACTCTCATTGTATAGTCTTCACAATACAATCTTGGACACAGTTCTTGTTTTGTGATTTTTAACATTGAAACTTTGAGATAAAATGCTTAAGCTGAAGTTTTTATAATAGTACACTCATCAGACTCTTATAAGTCAATCTTAATCTTGCCCACTTCCGATGTGGGACTAATCGGGGGTGTTACAATCTCCCCCACTCAAAGGCTTGATGTCCTCGTCAAGGCCTAACATAATCTAGATCAAGCCCTAGCATAGTGCATGTGAGGCGTAGCCCAGTGGTGGCACCATGCCGTGACGAGTCCTCTGACTCTGTCTACAGGTAGCCCTAGCCCTTTCCTACTCGAGCCCTCTCACGATACCCAAATGCTAGGTCGGCTCTGATACCAAATGTCATGACCCGGGTCTGATGGGTTAAATGACCTATCAACTTTGTTTGGTCTAAACCACTGACTAAAATGCTTAAGCTGAAGTTGATAGTAGTACACTCATCTGACCCTTATAAGTCAATCTTAATCTTACCTACTTTCAATGTGGGACTAATCATGGGGGTGTTACATAAAATACTTGCAATATTTGTGCCCTCCTACTTTCCTTGGTGGGGATATGACGCGTTTATTTGTCCTATGGTGAAAAATAATCTTGGGCAAAAAATTTAGGTGTGTTTATGTCATGTTTTAAAATGCAGGATATTTATAGTAGTTATTCAAACATTAGTAGATATGGGTAATGGATGAACTTTATAGTCATATTCAGGATAAAATTTCATGCTATTTGCTAGTAGTATTTTAATTTCATGTGGTTGTTGTATGTCGCTTGAACTAAAAGGAAGTTTTATAAGAGTCAAAAGGCCAACAAACTTTTATGCAAGGTTTTTAATCTCGTACCATACCAAGCTTTGCTCGGTACACCGGTACAACATACCGAGCAAAACGCTAGGGCGTACGGAGTGGTATGTTTAAAATAGGCATAAAACCCTTCGAAAATACCTGAAAAATAGAAAAAAAAAGTTAGGATAGGATTTTTAAGTAAGAAATAAATATACAGCTAGTATAGTTTTAGCAAAACTAATGTAAATTAGGTAAGAATAGTGCCACATATCTTTTTCGGGCTTTGAGGAGTAGCCTTATGCAAGGTTCGCAATTTCGGTATGTTCCGGATCGTCCTTTCGTTATCTATAGAAAAATTATTTAAATAGTTAGATTATTTTGTACGTAACTTAAACATTAAGATTCAAATGAATTAAGTAATCATATGTCTAGATATACCTGATTCTATCACCAAAACGAATGACGAGCCTCCATGGGTGATGGATCGGGATCTTCGATCCTATATATCTGTATATCAATGTTATAAGTTTGTCGAACCCAATTCTGAAATTGATCCCACGACATAGTGTATTGATACATTATATGCTATTGGTGCATCAATATGGTGACGGTCGTAGGTTGATCATCATAAATCACGTGAGGTGGCTCCTAAGGCATGTATTGGTGAATGTCAGGACTTTTACTTCGCTATTGATCTGCTGCTCCGTATCATAGTGTTGCTTGGAGAAGTAGTGATGGATGCACGGTTCCAATGGGTTAAGATAATTCCCAACTTGTGTCACGAGCGAAACCCCAGTATGTTGCAAAAGAAAATTATTATATATATGATGAAATGGACTGGACCGCTCAGTTTGGGCTGCTTTACCTACAAGAAAAAGATCGGCAATCAGACCAGTGAAAACCAGCTGAACCATACTGAATTGATCAGTCTTGCAGTCTACGAATTGCTCTTACTTTGACTAGTGAAATGTCCTAAATAAAGTTCAATGACGAGAATAGATCAATGTAACTGACCCTAAATAGTTTATATTTTTGGAGAATGTAGTATTAGTTTTTTAATTAGTTTTGATCATGTATCTTTATTGGTTTTAGCATGTGAGCAATGTGACATCTTCCTTGTGATGGACAATTAAATATTCTATTATTTTATACAAGGTCTCTAATTTCACCCAATTCGGTCCTGTTTGGTCCATTACTTAACAGTTAACACTATTTTTTTTTCCTTTTAATGCCTGGTGCGCTAGGGCTCCTAAGGTGTCACGACTTAAGGCTCCTTACAAGCGCACATTTCCACCACCTCTTGTCGCCTGCACCTTTCTCCTACTTCTACACTTCCTCCACCACCTGCTATTCTTCCTCTTCCTACACAGAACACTTCATGAAGTGTGTAAGAATAGACCAGAACCGTCCTGGCCCTGGACAGCCAGCATTGGTCTGGTACCCGAAAATGGAAAACCTTGGTTCAATGCAATTTATTTGTTCTATTTAAAGCATAACTCTGGCATTTCTAGTAGAATATAAGCATTTGGTATAATATTGTTTTTATTCTTTATATTAATATTACTTGTATTTTGTATCACATTCTTTCTATTATGGTGCTTACATTATTGAAATGATATTGCTGATATAGGTATGTTATGGGAATTGGTGAAGCAGAAGCGTTTTCAGAAAGGTTGAAGAGGGAACTTCTGGCACTAGAAGCGGCAAATGTACATTCCCTTATGGAAAGTGAATCCATAATAGAAGAGGTACTGCTCATCTAGTTGAGATGATCCAACTTGATAGGCTTGTTAGATGTCCCAAGGCCAAAATACTTAAGTTTTATTAGTACTATTAGGTTCATCAAGTTTTATGTACTAATTCAGCTTGTACTTATCTCCCCATGTGGGACTAATTAAGACTTGACATTTAGCCAAGGTTTGTCGTACCGGACTGTACCGCCCGGTACGGGCGGTACGTACCGGTCCGACAGGCTAGCGGTACGCGGACCGCCCTGTACCGGTCCGCCCGTACCGAGCACTGTAGCAGTGCACTGTACCGAGCGGTATACCGTACCGTACCGGTACCGAGCCTGGGTCAAAATGCTGGTACGATACGGTACGGCGAACCTTGCATTTAGCCTTCATGTCATAAAGTCTTTCTTGACTGTGATTTTGATATTGTAGGTGAGTTATTGTTGCTGTTTCTATCTAAGTTTTTTTTTTAACATGACCTTGATGGAAATTATGTGGGCTTGAAACAGACATAAGTGGTTAGGGAGCATGGTAGTTATGTATAAAAAATGACCTTGAATATTTACTGTAGGCTGATTTTTTATCGTTATTTATCTTAACCTTCACACACACACACAAATATATATATATATATATATATACATACATACATATATATATATGTATGTATGTATATATATATATATATATACACACACAGATGAACAGGCTCTTTACTAAATTGTTCAAACTTCAAACCTCGCAGGTATTGCAGGGACTAGAAGTAGCTACTGTATGCGTCGAGGATATGGATGTGTGGCTTGGCATTTTCAATGTGAAGCTCAGACACATGAGAGAGGATATAGAATCAGTATGGCCACTTTAATGTGTGATTTGATATTACCTTATCTAATCTTGGCAGTTGGTGACCGTATATTTTTGTTTTTTGCTATACATTGAATATATGACTCCTACTGATTAGGAACAACTTGTGCACAAACCTTTGAAGATTAGGCATAAAAAAACTTGTTTAAAGCTCATAAAGATAGAATTTAGTAATTATGATATTAATTATGGGGAAAAGGACACTGTTGTATGATATTAATTATGGGGAAACATGTTACAACCTCTATTGGGCAGCAACATTATTGGCAGGATTTATTTCTGATCATGATATGGAGATCTGAAATACAGACTGGCCCATCTCATCTTTGAATAGTGGAAAGATAGAATCTATTTTGTAATTGATGATGGTGGCAGGATTGATTGTTTGGTCATTTGTGAAGACATAATAAACCTTTGCTACCTGCAAACTCTGTATTTTTATATTTATATATTCACTAGATCTTTTTCTCCATCAGAGAAATTTGATGCTTAATACAACAAGTTGGGAGAATGAGCATGTGAATTACATCCGTTGGATGATGCATGTAGAGCATTGAGAAGGGGAGGGGGGAGGGGTAGTTTGGTTTGGTGTATAAGTTTTGATGGAGTTACCACTAATTATGTGTGCATAGACATCATAGGTTGTGGCTTAAGACTTGTTATTCTATCCGAGACAACCATTGCACCTGATATGTTTTCCGTTTCATTTTGCAGATAGAATCTCGAAACAATAAGTTGGAGTTGCAATCTGTGAGTAACAAGGCTCTTATTGAGGAGCTTGATATATTACTGGAACGTTTTGAAATCCCTGCTGAGGTTGGCATTAGTGACAAATATTTTTTGTGAGACCAGACTTCAAATTTCCATGTTATTTTAACATTTCTTAGTTGTTTAATCACATGGGTGGCAGCATGAGGCATCGCTTACAGGAGGCTCTTTCGATGAGGATAACATGGTTAAGAACATTGAGGCATGTGAATGGTTAACTGGTGCTTTACGTAATCTTGAAGCATCAAGTTTGGATCCATGCTATGCAAGAATGAGAGGTGTATGTTCTTCAATCTTTTTTGGCATCATCACTATTCCCATTATCTTGAGTGGTTTGACCTTTTTCAGAAACTTGTTATGGTCATAGTAATATAGTCAAATTTCATGCTATAAGAAACTGACAAACAAAGCAGCTAGATATCCCAGTAAATGAAAGAAGACATCATCCGGTAATTAGCCTCCGTATAATGTTGAAGGACAAACCTAGATATGCATGATTTCTGTGCCTGATCATTTCTCTGGGTGTTTTCTTTTTCTCACATATGCTTGTGCAAATTATTCTTTTACACAAAGCTTCAAAATCTTTTGTCATTTTGCAAGTTTAAAGATTTTTATTGTCTATGATGGACAGTCCTTTCTATGTTTCTTTAGAAATTGACTGTAAGCAATGTACTTCTAGCTTAATGTTCTTTTCTGTCTTAAGTTGTGACAGATTTTGCAAATTGTATTTGTTCAGATCAAGGAGAAACGTGCAGAACTTGTATTGATAAAGTGCACATTTGTTCGTCGAGCCTCAGAGTTCTTGCGGAACTACTTTCCTAGTTTGGTGGATTTAATGCTTAATGACAAGAACTATTTTTCTCAGGTGATCTCTAACGGGTACCTTTGTTAAATTTCTTGAACTAAAAAGTTTAGGGTGTCCCTCTGGTTGCATGCAGCGTGGACAGTTGAAAAGACCTGACCATGCAGACCTAAGGTACAAGTGCAGGATATATGCAAGACTTTTGCTGCATATAAAGGTCTGTGATACTTGGAGATGCTATACTCTTGACTTTGTTATTACTGTACATGCCTTGTTCACCTTGTTTAAAACTTTTCAGAGTCTTGACAAGAATTGTTTGGGCCCTTTAAGGAAAGCTTACTGTCATTCTCTAAATCTGCTGCTTCGACGAGAGGTCAGCGTACATATAATCATCTTTTGGTGTTTGTGTCTTTCTTGACGATATTTTTATCAAGGAATCAAGTTTTCATCATACAAGTTGGTAAGAACTAATTAGTCTGACAGCCAACCAGTATGTGGACTGAGCATTTTCACCTAATAAGATTGTTACACTGGGCAAACCATCTGGTGAGGTAACGAAGCTATGTTGGGTGGCAAGCCTATCACTTGGTGCTAGTACTGGTCCACACTCTGCATTTTGTTTTTCTTTTGGTTTTTGTTTTTTGAATACGACAGACTCTGTCATGAGAAAAAAGTGATATATAGGGGATTTTCTCTCACTTCCCTTTCTTTCTAATGAATATGTGAATTCTTCCTCACATGAGAAAACCAAAAATTGTACTTATTGGTAGTCACCTATGCTGACATGGTGTAGGTTGGTACTGGTACTGTACTTGTTCAACCGATGATGGTAATTGGTATTGGCTCCAGATCTTAATCATTGATCTTCTCAAGATTTGTCTACCAGGCAGTACCCACATAGTATGGGTGGCATTGCAAGCTTGTTGCTGCCATGATACAGTCACCATCCCATTTTTATGTTCTTATTGCATTTTTTAATGTAAATTATTGTTTGAGTAAGAAATAAATGAGGTGTTTTATTCAAATAAAGCAAACACATGTAGTTGTAGGCTTGTAGCTGCCACTGAAGCTATAATATTGTTCTCATGTATATCAAATGGCTAGCAATGACTATTTGACATTTCCAGTTTGGGACTATGCTATTCAACACAAAAGCTCCTTAGATAAGGAACTCACATCATTTTACTTGTTCTTGCATTACCATCATAACTGGCTTCTTATAAAAGCTGAAACTATGTTATCTTTTGCCATGTCATAATGATCTCTTTGCTATCAGGCTTGAGGCTTTCATAATTTATCTAATAGAATGTTGCAGCTCTGGTCAGAGAACATGAATGAAATCTATGCATGACACTATGCTCTATAAATGAATTGCTTATGATAACAGAGGGTAACCTAATTTATTTCATATTGTTGTAGGCACGTGAATTTTCTAATGAACTTCGTGCTGGTACCAAGGTAACCAGAAGTCAGATAGTTTGGCTTGAAGGTCCGATGCCCTCAAATCAGACATCAAATGCAGATTCTTCTACAGTTTCTGAAGCATACTCCAAGATGCTAACAGTTTTCATTCCTCTTCTTGTGGATGAGGTTCTTTATTTCGTGCCTTAAAATTTATAGTTAAGTTAAATGCTGGCACGGGCAATAACTCTTTGAATCTTTGAACAGAGTTCTTTCTTTGCACACTTTATGTGCTTTGATGTTTCTGCTCTAGCTCCATCTGACGCATGTGCTGATACTGATAAAGCCGTGTCTGACGGCATAAATGAATGCACCCCGGGAAAGATAGTTGCTCAAGGCAATGATGTCAAAACTACAGAAACCCTTTCTTTCTATATTTCCTCAAATCCAAAATAGAGAATGATGCCAGTGATATTAAACATATTCTTCAACTAACACATTTTCTTGATTCTTTAGGTAATGATTCTGCTGAGCTAGGAATTCTCAATGAATGTTTAAGAGAATTGCTTGATGGACTTCAGGTAAATACCTTTGTATGGTTGCATGAGTAGGATAAATTACTTTCACCAATGAAATCATAAACAGTATGAACTGCATTATTTGACACCGTGACATCCATGCCTCACTTCTTGACCCATTTGATGCAAGGCTGTCCCATTTAGTGTTGAATGCTTGGATAATTTTCTGTTTCAACATGCACAGTTAGGAATAGGTTCTTTTGATTTTCTCTTCTTTATTTCTTTTGTAGTCCTAAGTTTTTTATAAAATGAAATTTGGAGATATTTTGCTTGTTCTGTCTATCTTTACCTTAATGGACCTAAGACATTTTCTAATGAAATGAACAACTCCAGCCCAACTATCAGAACCTTCCTACAATAATTTAGTCAGGCTGTTATTTTTGGGTGAGACTAAGAGGCAGTGCCTTGTTAATTCATTAGGCTTCTAGTGCTGGGTGCTTACATTGTCTTCTGCATGATACATAAATTTATTTATTGCTATATAATGCTCTTTCAGTAGGATTGACTTGAGCCACAAGCTTTTGAAATTATGTGCTATGCATATGCTGGCATGCAAAGCTAAAAGAGAAAATTTTACTTTTTTATCTTTGTTATCTTCTTCGAGGATTCAGGTAGCAATTTTACTGTCCAGATCAAACATCAAGGTTGTACCTGAATGAATATATTTGTTATTTGTGATACTGCACTTTCGTGTCAGCATTAGCACAGTTAGTGATGCCGCTGCAGAATCAAGGCATTGGTCTTGTAACTGTCAGAGTGATTTTCTTTGTCCGTCTTTTATAAGCTACTTAATTCAGGGAAAGAGGACCGACTAACAATTTTCCGAACATTTGATGCTCCTTTCTTTTAGGAGGACTTCTGTTCAATTGTGGATTGGGCATACAAAATTGACCCTTTATGCTGCATTTCGATGCATGGGATCACGGAACGCTATCTTTCTGGCCAAAAAGCTGATACTGCTGGATTTGTGCGTCTATTGCTTGATGAACTTGAGACCAGAATCTCTATGCTGTTCAGCAGGGTTTGGTTATGCACTAAACTGTCTTGTGCGAATCACTTCTTTGAAGAATCATATTGATATCCAACTAACTTCTGAAATTTATATTTTTGTTGTAGTTTGTTGATGATGCTTGTTATCAGATTGAGAAGTGTGAACGCAATGCACGACAAATGGGAGTTCTGCCTTACATACCAAGGTTAGCTTTCCTTTCTACTAATTTGCCTGATGAGGTTGTATTTCTGGAATCCCTTTCTCTCTTTACATTTCATAGTTTATTTGATAAAATTTTGGTAAGTGCTTCATTTTATTAAAAAATTCTTGTTCCTCTATGTTCTAATTTAAAGATTTTTTCCATATGAATTATAGTACCATGGTTTCAAACACTGATTGGAAACACATGTACTAAATGGTAATCACAAATCCAACAAGGACTGGTATCTGTTGGTATTCATTTTAAATTTTTTGAGTGACATTGGATGTTTTAGGTTGGTAGACTGCCTGATTTCTAGTACTGTAATGGTCTGACAAGGACTATTGTTAAAATTCTTCGTTGGTATTTAGAAGATTTTGAACTTTGTGACTTGTAGATCTCATTCAGAATTTCTTTTAGCTAGTCTCCGGTCCATATCAAAGATGGTAAAGATTGTAAATCTGTAGCAATCTTTCATATTATTATAAACTAAGGTGCAATTACAGTAAAGTAAAAAATAAAAAGAAAGCTTTTTAGGTTTTAATTTATCAAGGAGACAATTTACCCCGAGTTTGAGGACTGCAATGTATCTGTTATATTACAGTCTTCATGCTCTCCCTTCTTTTATGGTTCTATTTCCATTGACGTGCTCTGCCATACTGGGATAATGGAAATCTCGTATTATTTTCTCTCATCTTGTTCTTATATAGTTATCCACAATTTACCAAGATCTAGTTTAGTTTTCCTCCATAATCTTTAAAATTTTCTGACAGTGCCCACATTGCTGTAAGTTGAATGGCTACGATTCCAAATTGATGCAAAAGCTGTTCTATACAGATCTGTGGTAGCATGTGATGATTGTGTGCATTTAAAGATCCTAACAATCTTATTCCTATTGTACATAGGTTTGCTATTCTTGCATCACGCATGGAGCAATATATCCAAGGACAGGCTAGGGATTTGATTGACCAGGCCTACACAAAAATTGTGAGCAATTATTGTTACTGCTCTTAATTCATATGTTAGTAGATTTTACATACTACTTGTTGAAGTTTAAATTACTACAAAGAACCTGGATGTTCCATATGAAGATGTATAGGTCACCCGTGGTGCTTCCTTCTAGCTAAAGTAATCTCTACATGAATTACTTTTATGTTATTGGCTTTCAGGGGTTTATCAATTGTTCCTTGGGTATAGGTTAGCATCATGTTTGTTGCATTGGAGAGGACTGCACAAATTGACCCAAAATATGTTGATATTGTTCTTCTAGAAAATTATGCAGCTTTTCAAAACAGGTGAGGTGTTATGACTTGATCTTTGTTGTGCTTTACAAAATATTTCATTGACATTTCAAAATGGCAAGATATCGTATGTTTTTTAAGAAATGAGCCACAGGCCAGCTTCTGACCTGATGTATTAACTTCATGTGCAGTTTGTATGATTTAGCCAATGTTGTACCAACACTTGCAAAATTTTACCACCAAGCTAGTGAATCCTATGAACAGGCTTGCCTTCGTCATGTTAGCATGGTCATCTATATAGTAAGTCCATCTTAAATGTATTTTCCTCATTTTTGGTATGAGCAAAGAATGCTCATATTAATGCTTTCGGTGCTACCATAGAGTAGATATCTTCTTAACACTTAAAGCGGGGGTGTTTTCTTATTTATTTCTTTGCAGCATTTTGAAAAACTGTTTCAGTTTGCACGCAGAATTGAGGAATTGATGTTCAATGTTGCACCTGAGGAGGTCAGCAAGTTCTTTGATTCCTGCCTGTGACTGTTAATAAGATTTGTGCGTAATACATGTGTTAATCTCTGATTTTTTATCATTTTGTTATGTCTCACCTGTTCTGTTGTGTTGCCTTTTACTATTTGATCATTCATGTAACTATGCAAATAAATGTATGACCTATTTTTTGTATTGATGAAGTTGTACCAACTACCAACCAGTGACTTACTGAAATATCTGAAACTCGAATATGCAGATTCCTTTCCAGATTGGAATGTCAAAAGTGGATCTCCGAAAAATGTTGAAATCTAGCTTCTCAGGGGTAAGTGAAGACCCATAGCCTCATCTTTCACATCGGTCGACTTAAATCATTTCTGTTGTTAATTTTTGTTGTATTTTGCTGACAGCTTGACAAGATCATCAATGCAATGTATCGGAAGTTGCAGAAAAATATAACTGCAGAAGAGTTGTTGCCTTCTTTATGGGAAAAATGCAAGGTTTGGTTTTTTCGTTCATGCTTAACAGTAATTAGGTAGACTGCATAGTAAGGTTTTAAATCTTGACCTTACTGATCATTGTGGACTGGCATTTACTGGTCCGACCAAGAAAGAATCAGTATCGAAACATATAGGTTTGATGCTTTTTATTATTTTATTCAACGATATTGGAAAAATTGTTTGTTATATAGTAGGATAAATTGGTTCTTTCTCTTTCCTCTATGTAGTCTCTTCGTTTTGAAAATTGTTCTGCATGTTGGGACATATACTTTGGAGAAATAGCATGTATCATCAGTAAACCAATGCTAGTTTATTTTGGTCTTAAAACCTAAAGCATAAATGATCCTATCTGTAATGGAATATGAGTGCAAAAAAGTTTGACAGTATATCTCATTTGGCATTTGCAGAAGGAATTTTTGGAGAAGTACGGAAGTTTTGTTCAGCTAGTTGTCAGAATATACCCCAACGAGACGGTTCCCTCCGTAATAGAGATGAGGGAGGCTCTTAGTAATCTGTAGCCGTAGTTGCTGTGTGGTTCTGCTTCCCCCTGTGAGGGCACACGGTTGATTTAAAGGTCTCATTCCGTTTCTTTTCTCTCCATCCAGTTGTTTTTTTTGTGCTTTCGTTCACTGAACACCATGAATGCTACCAGTTTTTGTTCGTCTGTGTTCCCTGTTTGGATGGATTAACGGGAGTGTTTACCAAAGAATTGCCCGTGTCAATAATAAACGTTGTTACTGCCAAGATTATTAAGCTTCGTAAACCATGGAATGCGACTTGCCCCCCTCCTAAATTGCACAGACGACATTAGAAGATGTGTTGGTGGTTTCTTATACACGAGCGAAGGTGTACCGGACACAGTTTGGTGGGTTGATCGGATACTACCGGCTCAGTTCGCGCCCGGGACGCCTCGACTCGACCACATTGCGCTCGTGCGAGTCGCACACCTGCGTGCTGAACCGGCACCCGAACCTCCTCCGCCGCCGCCTCCCGCCGTCCTCGTCCCCCTCCGCCGCCCCACTGCCTTCGCCGCCCTCGTCCAGCTTCGACAACGCCTTCTTCATGCTGGAGCACTCGCGCTCCAGCTCCTGCACCCGGTTCCGCATGCTGTCCATGTCCAGCCGCAGCACCTGGTTCTCCCGCATGGCCGACCGCCACGCGCCGCCCCCCTCACCGCCCGCCGCTGCCGGGACTGCCGCCTCCCCCTCCGCCACGAGCAGTGTCCCCGCTATCACCCGCCGCAGCTGCAGCTGCTCGAAGAAGAGCACCTGCACCACCGCCCGCAGAGGCAGCCGCTCGTTCTGCGCCGCGTGGGTGCATGCCTCGAGCGTCAGCTTCCCGCAGTCCAACACCCCGCAAACTCTCTCCTTCTCCTCCTCCCGCATCCGCGGGTGCGCCTGCCCACTCCACAAAACCCCGTCAGCTAAAGGTTCAATCAGTAAGACAACACCGGTGGAAGAAGCACCTCCGCTGTACCTTGAGATAGATGTCGACGGCTCTATAGAGGCCGTCGTGGTAGACACGGGCGTCGTCCGGGAGCGCCACCGCCAAGCCGTAGAACTTGTCCACCTTAAGATTCGCGTCCGACGCGATCTCCGCCAGGTACCCGTCCACTAACTTCCCCACCAGCTTCAGCGAAGCGGCGCGCCTCCTCTCCACGTCCACACCACCCTCCGCCTCCCCCTCCGCCTCCGCCGGGGCCAGCGCTGCTCGCTCCGCCTCCAGGTCGTCGAGGTAATGGGCGAGGATCCGCTCCACGCAGTCCACGTCATAGAGCGTCTCGGAGAGGTAGGAGTAGCTCGGGATCAGGAGGTCGTCCAGCGTCGCTCGCTCCAGCTGCGACGCGATCTTGCGCTCGAGGGCGGCGCGCGCGGCCTCGGAGGCGTGGAGGATGTGGGCAGTCCGCAGGAGACCGAAAAGGAACTTGGTGGTGGCGGCGGCGGATGCGGCCGGCGCTGCCGAGCTTTTTTCCGGCGGGAGGTTCGCGATCACCGTCTCCAGGAGCTCCCGCTGCTCCGGCTCCGACGCTACGGGAGCGGAGGAGTGCTTCCGCCGGGAACGGAAGAGACCCGGGATGGACTGTTGGGCGTAGGAGATGAGGGATCCCTCGATGGCGACGGAGCTCAAGTCGCGGGACTTCAGGGCGGCGATCACGCGCCTGTACATCGGGAGGCTTAAGATCGCGAGGTCCTCGAGCCAAGAACCGGCGCTAGCGGCAGCGGCGAAGGAAGAGGATCGGACGCCGCTCCTCCTGCGGAGCAGTCCGGTCTCGATCCCGTTCCAGAGAATCTGCTCGCTGCTGCTGCCGCCGCCGCCGCGGCCGCGGCGCCCCTCGTTAATCGGCCAGCCGAAGAGGGAGGCCGGGTCGGAGACGGACGCACCGGCGGCGATGGCGTCGACACACCGCTGGGCGATCCCGAGGTCATCGGCGACGGGCAGCACGTCCTCGCAGGATTTGAGGGTCTTGATGGACTGCTTGATGCTGGGGAGGACGGATTGGGCGAGGAACCGCTCGGTGCGGGCGACCAGGTTCTCCTCGCAGACTTCCTCGGTCATCTCGAGGTACTCCGCCACGCAGCGCAGGGGCGCCACGTTCCAAGCGCTGAGGTCGATCTTGACGCCATAGCAGAACTTAGCGGCCGTCTCGAACGCCTCGCAATTACCTGGGAAGTCGGCAAGCGAGATGTGTTGGTAACCCTCTTCCTCTTCTTCTTCTTCTTTGATCTCTCCTCCTCCTCCTCCCTCCTTCTGTGGCTCCTCTTCGTCATCCCCCTTACTCTGCCCTCTTCTTGCGGCTTTGTTAGGGTGTTCTTCCGCCTCCGTTATCAGCCGCTGAAGCCTCCCACTCTTGGCCATCAAAGGAAACTGTTCGACATGACCGAAAAGATCAGCTTTTTCGTGCTTCAACTAGGTAGAAACCACAACCAATTCCACGAAATGGATCACCTTGTGGAGATGGAAGCTCATCCCATCTACTTCGACTATGATATCACTCGGCAATCCAGTGGTGCAAAACCTAACGGGAGACAGACATAAAGATCGAATGTTTCTACTAGGTTACAGAGTAAAAGAAGATTGCAAGGAGAATTCACCAAGCTTGGCCCTTGGAACCGAGCTTCTCGCCCGCCGCCATCGCTGCTTCCTTGTGCAGAACCAGATCCTTACTCCGAGACCTCATCGAACCAACTCAAGCATCCCCCTGCGCACTTAAATCACTTGGCTCCCAGTTTGCAGCAAGAAGCCACCGCCCCGACTCCGGATCTCATCCGGACCGAACGCCTGCTTCCCCGAGAAGCATCTCTTTCCTTCCCTCGTTCCGTTCCGCCATTGTCCGCGCCCCAGGCTGGTTCAACAGAGGAGAGAAAGGGATGATGGCCTTTAAAGCGGCAGGGAACAAAGATAAAGGCGAGCAAGCAAGCAAAGGCCGCCTGCCTTCGCTTCCAACAGGCATGCTCTCCACGGCAACTTGATTACTCCGAGCTTCATCACCACGATGAGCTGGGCCTAATCGAGAATCCCACTACCCAGCAGTGGTAAGCAATAATAATAACAGCGGTTGCAGTGGCCGCCCTTATTTTAATCTCTCCCATAATTCTATTCCCATGCACTCATCCCCGGTCATGAGAGTTTCGAGGCCTTGTGCAGGTCATTCAGAGCTCATCAATGCCCCCCATCGACCAGTACACAGAGTTCATGCTGCGCATTAAAGGTGAGCCCAAGCACGCCCACTAGTGACCGAGAAGGGTCGTGTTGCAAGTATGAATACCGCAATGTGTTTGACGTAATGCCAGCTGGTACCAATGATGGAAACTTTGATGTCAGGAGCAGCCACCGAACCCGGAGACAGGGTGGGGGTGGTCGGGCTCGCACAAGAAGCCCCCAAAGGTCGCGGCCGGCGGTGGGGACGGCGCCAGGGCGTGCGTTGGGTGGCGCGGGGTCTCACGAGCAACAGGTAAGGCAATCACTCCCACCTGTTCGTTGCTGCTTTTGCTCCCCAGTCGGCATGAGTAGGTTGTGCATGAGGCCAGTGTGACCTAACTATCACAGCGAGTGTTCGTCCCCATCTCCCTCGCTTGTCCTTGATTGGTTCAGAGAGCATTTCCAGTTTTGTAGCTTCGTGTTAGCTTGCCCCAGGAGGCGTAGCATGCGCGTGTGTTACTTTTCACCAACCCGAAAGCTAAGACACACACAGCCATGGCATGGCCCCTTGTGATGATTGAGGGAGGAGAGAAAGAGTGTCAAATGAGATGATTAAAGGTCCGACCTCAATGACAAGTATGAAGATGACTTGAATCTTGGTTGATACTTGGAAGTTGGTGACATGGATCTATCTATTAAGCAAAATTGGAACATGATCATGATGACGGGCAAGATCGATTCTGGTGCCATGTGTTCGATGAAAGTTCTTTTGGTGGTGTACTTGGAAAGGACATCCTTTGTTGAAGTTAATATGGCGAACTGACAGCCCAATTAAACCTATATCACCCAATTAAACCATTCCTTCTTGCTTCCTTGTGCAAATTTTGTCGTTCATCAACCATACACATATTTTATTATGCATTTTTTTTATTGACTATGCACATAGAGATAAATATCATTTACAAATGTTATGTAATTGATTGGTCCTAACCATAGTATCCTTTTCTCTTTTTTTTTTTTTCTATTTACATGTTATGTAATTCTATTTTTTTTCTCTAACCCTAATATCCTATTATTAACCTTAGTACACTGAATATAGAATAGTCAAATAAAATAGGATTATTGCTGGTCCAAACCCTGAACAGATACATAGGTAAAAGAATAAGAAGGTACATGACCTGCTCTTTTGGGGTCCATCAAATTTGGTACAAAGAGACAATGGAGAATGGTGTCATTCAAGTTTCATTGGCTTTCTCTTGGAGGCTTCTGAGGCAAGGTTGTTGTTTTCGGTACAAACTAGGGTTCTAGAAATATATTTGTGCAGTGCCACATTGTTAGGGTCTGTGGGTATGTCCCCTTTGGCATTGTATATGTAATGCAACTTAGTGCTTGTGAGTATTAGGACAAAGGAGAATAAGATGTAGCTGGTGGACAGGAAGTAAAGGGACTGAGGACAAGAGAGGAGTCATAGAATTGAAGGTGGTCAGCATTTTAGATTGGGATCAGCACACTTGTATGCTTTTGTCCCCTTTAAGATCACAATTCTTTATTTTATTCATGTATTTATTTTGAACGATGGAAGATGAAATAGAGCATCATCAAAAGTTCAAAAATAATCAATTAGAACAATGAAGATATTTTTTTTATATAGTTAATTTTCTTAAATTTTATCTCAATGAATTAAGATTTAAAATATCTGGATGAATATTTATCTATGTATTATATTAAAATATAGCTGATGAGGTGGGTGGGTTAATTGCTTCAACAAGGACAAGAGAATGACTTGTATTAGTGAAGATTGTGTTTAGGTTTCTAATTTTAAGGGTTGTTAAGTCATTAGCTTAATTAGTCAAAATTAAAGTGATCTAAAAGTTATTTAGCTAAGGGACATAATTATTATGAAAATTAATTATGTGAATATCATCGGTCATATTTCTAATTTAATGACGAGATAAGTTAGAAATATAAAACTCTTACGTATTCATCAATTATGAATATAATCATAATTATAGATTCGAATATAAATAGGGTTATGATCTCCTGATTGCAATATAGCTATTTTTGAAGGTAAAATCTCTCTTGTGAGTTTAATAAATTGTTTAAAAATGAAGGCAAACTTAGATATGAAATCATTTATTCACAATGAATGTAGTCGAAAAAGTTTGGTGAACCAATCAATGATAATTTAGAAGAATTCGAAGAACTACTCCTAGATTGATCTCACTCTAATCTCTTTGTAAGCTCTCTATTCATTCTATTATTTCTATGTATCGTAGCGTAACTCACTTGCACTCTAATTAGAGTTAGTTAAAGCACTTATCAAGGCCTTGTAGTTAGAGCTTATCTGTCATAGTACTTGAAATCTTTGATATATTTCTATGTTTGTTGCAATAGAGACATTGAGATGGGCTTTTATTTTGGGCCACGGAGTTGTAACTTAACACAAATACCCACCCACCATGGCCATCGTAAAGCTTCAAGGATCATCTTGTTGTTGTTGCTCATCTCCGTCCATACATTAATTTATTAGAGTATCAAACTTTTTTTTTTTTTTTTTTCATGTGGTCAAATTGCCTTTCCAACATTTTTCCCATAATTCATCAAACACAAAAAAACAAAAAAGATGAAGCATATAATGTATTTGTTTGGTTGGATAAGAGATTAAAAAAAAAAAGAGTCTTATTCTCATCCTACTTAGCTTGGGTTTTGGTTTGACATAAACATTAATAAAACTCTTGACCTAAAATTAATAACTTGGTTATAAAATCAAACATGTCATAGATCCAACAAAATTAAATTTAAAAAAATGCAAACAAGTTGCCATTGTTAAATTATGTGGGCTCCCAATTTGGTGTCGCAATTAATTTGTAATCCAAAAAACAATGTGTTGGATAGATTCGACCACTAGTGCTAGTCGCATCAACCGGCAGGTGGGCTTATTTAGTGGTCTCATCATCACCTCGTCCTTCATGACAATTAATTCTCTCTCTCTATATATATATATAAACTCTAATCGAACTGTCCAGTCGGTTAAAGTTGCCGACCAGGATAACATGATCGAAAGCACGACGCCATTAATGGAGTCGCTTTCGGAGATGGACTATCGACAACCCTAAGAGAGATTTTAATTGTGATGGGGATGAGGTGCTCCTCTTGATTTTTTTTATTTATTTTTTTTTATTTTATTGAGGTGTATTGCATAGGATCTAACATTTTATGGGTTACTTTTTATTCAAATTTTACTAACACGATAGAAGAAGCATCGAGTAGTATTTTTTATTCTTTTTGTTGATTGAAATATCATGCGTCCGATTTTGTTTGAAGACAAATATCCTTTCTATCATAGTAAACTGGTTTTGTCAAGTCGATAACCACAAGCGACTGAATATTCTCTTTTATCAATTTTGACGTGTCTCAGTATGTTAACATTTATGCGTGAAAGGTCATGTTTGTCCTCGGCTTTACCTCGATTAATTTCTTGGGGATGAAGAAAGGATTTTACTCAATAGAATAGAGGATTTTACTCAACAAAATAAAAAGAAAAAATCTTATCTTCTATCAAAATTAACAAGAGATTATGACAGCAGATATACACGCCCTCGATAAATGGATGGTACGATTTGAGACATTTGGTGGGCGTACCCTACCCTTCGAACCCTATCATAACAGTATCGTGACTCGAGTAAAGATTTAATGATTTAATTTTTGTTGAATAAAAATTAGTAATCTTACGTCATATGAAAGAAACTCACCGATCTTATGACATGTCGACACGCGTCGGGAGGACGAGTGCGACGGGATCCAGTTGTGAAGGCGGTGGGCCCATTTACGCGGGGCACAAGCTTTGATGCTCCAAGCTTCATCAGTCATAAAACTAATGGTTTCTTTGGTCATTAAGCTCTTAAGTTAAGACGGAACTTAATTTCTTCTGTCGCACTGCAATCATTGGACCCTAATCATTTCCGGTTGACCTCCTCTCCGTCACCATCATTTCCGGTTGACCAAGAGAAGATGTGTCTCGTATGAACCCTCTTCGAACCTCGTTGACTTTGAACTCCTGCAGTCAAGCTTTCGCAACGCCTTCCAGTTTTCCCTCTCTTCCAACCCTAATCAATCGCCGCCTACTTTGTGACGCGGACCGACCGCCGAATGGGTGTCAGTTGCATCTACCATTAGCGTCAACCACTTCGTGTTATCTGCATGCAGGCAGGCTTTCCATAATATAATGACTGCTAAGATGATGCATGCATCAAACTGTTTCTTTTTTTTGGACTGGCATGAATCTAACATGGATTTCTTTCGTCCTTCAGCTGGCACGCATCATTCCGTCAGATCCATCTCTACCTTTCCACGCCACATCATTTCAACTATGCCAGCTTTTGCTTCCTGCCTGTACGAAAATTATTCTTCTATGCACCATTATATATTTATATATATATATATATATATATATATATATATATATATATTCTAAACACCTGTCTCCCATCGACTTGACACCACAACACGTAGTCAGGAGAGCATGTGCCATCCACATCGCCTTGGCTTCATGCGGACCATTACCGACATGTATAACAATCCTCGCATTATCTTATTGATTATTATATATAGTCATGTAGTTGGCTATGCGAACGTGAATGCCACTTCTAATATTCTTTTGCTGCTAGAAAAAAGAAAGAAAAGAAATATCATATATATATATATATATATATATATATATATATATATTT